ACTAAATTTATACTTTACAATTTCACAGAACATTATTAGAATGAGATAAATTTTTTTACACGGTAGCTTCTTGACGTAAAAATACGTATGTATATCTTTCTCTGATTTGTACTTTAGTCCTTGACCAAACCTGAAGACGGCTTATACCATTGAATTCCAAACAAGATTATTTGAAGTATTTGAAGGGACCTAGGTTTGAAATTTCCTATTCAAAGCGTACTTGCTGAAGTGCATTCTAAGAGGAGTGTCTAATGCTGTTTTATTCATCAGGAAACGAAGAAACATAATATTTTAAATTTAAAATCAGGAAAAGGATTTTTTATAAACAATTATTTTTAATTCTTTTTAATTTCTTTTATTTTTTAATTTAAAAAATTTTTTTAAAATTTCTTATTTCTTGAAATATAAATTTATTTTTTATAGAACAGTATAATAAATAAATAAATAATACAAATTTTCTTATTTTTAAAATGTTTTCTTTTTCATTTTGATCGTTTATCAAATATTTAAAAACAATTCAACTCTTATTAATTCAAAAATAACTCACTTTCCGCTGTAATCATTGATAAAGTAAAATTTTCATGAATTATAACTAATTTTTCCAAAACAATATTGAATTACGAAACTTGAACGAATTTTAACAAAAGAAATAGAAAAAATGATACTATGTTTTATTTATATGTAGCATACCTTTCTTTCATCTTAGTTCTCCTATTATTTATAATGCAGCGATAATGAATGAAAGAATAGAAATAGAAGCACTAACAACGAATGAAATAATAGAATAATACATCCTATTAGCTTTAACATTTATTATTGTATTTTTGTAACTGTTTTTAAATGCAATATTTATATTTCTATCACGAAGATTTGTCGAAAAGAGAATTAACATTCAACAAATTATATTTATGAAAAGCGACGATATTATTTGCGTACTTTGTCATTTGCTTTTTTCATATTCAATATAACGGATATGAGAATTTAAAAAAATTATTTTTGTTTTATTTAATTCAAATATGAAATAAGCATTTTCTTAAAAATAAAAAATATGGATTAAGTTATTTTTGATATCATTTAAATGATTTTATTTAAATAAAAATTATATTTTTAATTCATTATTTAAATAAAAATTTGCCCAAATGATTCGAATGCGGATAGTCGATACTTCGGGCCGAATCGATGTGGCAATCATGTGAAACTTTTAGGTTTCAGCAACTACGTTTTCGTCAAGAAAACCGAAATTTACTTGTGTCCCTTTAACTCATTTTTCTTTTGTCATTATGCATACTAGCGAAGCCATTGGGTAAAAGTGTAGACTACTCCCTCATCAATTTCGATGATTTTTGAATGTATTGTATAGGTATTTTGAACAGTTTTTTCCTATAATGCGTATGTTGGACATTGTTTGTTAGAGGAGAAGATCGTTCAGAGTATCGATTTCTAAATGATATTTAGGGATCGTCGAAATTAGTGAAGAAGTGATTAATCTACAAATTCATCAAGCAATTCATAGCAATCAGAATGGAGGATAATACAAATGTTTTAAACTCATAAAATGTTAATACTAACATATATGAATTTGAAACACAATGTTAATATTAACATATATATCATAAAGTCACGCATTCTTTATACCACCTTTATTAATAATTTATAACAATAAATGATTTCGGCTGTCGAAAATACAACTCAGTCAGTTCGTCTTAATAAATAACATTGTACTATAAAAAAGAAAATATGTATGGTATCGTTCAAAAAAATAAATTTGACTTCGAAATTTCGAAACGGATGAATGTTGCAAGAAATAATTTGCAACCCATAATATGCTTCTTTATTGCAAACAATACTTGTAGAAATATTTTATTGATAAGTTCAAACTGTCATAAAAGCGAGTTTACGGGATAAAGATAATTCATTCAAGTTGTGAATTTACAAATTTGTAAATAAAAAAACTTTATATCTAATTATATTGTTATATTGTGCATTATATTGTTTATATCATCAATAAATTTCAATAAATTTTATCAATAAATTTTATCATTTCAATAAATTTCTTCTAATATTTTTAAACAAATGTTAATAGTCAAATATATACTAAATTTTTCATTTCAATTTACATCAACCTCTGTTTTAAATCATTATATTCCTTCATTGATGAAGTATCACCACGTTCAATTCAACGAATAATTCTCGAAATACATCTGGCAACACTGTCCATATTTTTCGATTTTCGCGGTACAAAACTTGCCTGAATCGGTACGACAGGATGTGACATGAAAATGGTAACGGGGTCAGCTGACTCCGAAATCTTTGGACAAAAAAATACATTGGATGCTAGGTCTATTCACATAACTCGTCGGTGACGTTGGATGCTAGGTCTATTCATATACCTCGTCTGTGTCACCGTTGTTCAAACGTAAAATGCGCCAAAAAAACCAATGATTTTTTAGTATATCGGTATTCCAGATCATGGACCACGAAAGTGCAATGTCTATTCACATACCGCGTTACAGACGAATTTTTCGGATAACGATAGGGGTGTCTCGAGACCCCCTTACTAATTTCGTGTCACATCCTGCTGTACCGATTCAGGCAAGTTCTGCACAGCATGAATACAAGTGATGAAAATTAAAATTAAAATTAAAAGTACAGTATTGCCACATCTGCTTGAGAATTATTTATTACATAGAACATGGTGTTACTTCAATGAAGGAATACCGTATGACGCGAGTTCCTACATCGCGAATTCCTATAACGCGACAAAAATATCGCGACTACTGACTTCATGTAACGGGACTCCTTGTACAACGCGCCAAATCATAAAATACGGATAATCCAATACCCGTAGCGTTTGGGGCATGGAAAAACATATCCCAATACTCGTGGGGATTGGGGTATGGAAAAACATACTCCAATGTCTTGATCTGCATAATTTGCACTGCATAATGTGCCCCTCTATAAATTTTGTAAACACATTCAACATATGTAAATAATATAATTAAATAAATTAAATATAATAATATAATTAAATAAATTTTTTGTTTTAATAGAGAATTTTTATTATAACAAGATTTATTATAACAATTTATTAATAATTAATGTAAAATGTAAAATTAATTTAAAGAATTGAATTAATATAAAATAATAAATAATATATTATATAATTGATATTATAAAAACTGAATTATAAAATTTAAAATATTTTTTTATTGAAAATAAAATGTAATATTATGTGATGTTATTAATTTTCTAAAAGGCCGGCAAAAAAACAATGTCGTCCTCTCGCCTTCAAGTAGTCTCGATGCAAGAATCAGAATCACAATTCAGTTGACGAGCCGAAATTCCAAGCGAAATTCCGAGGGAGATTCAATCAAAATAAATATATAATTTAGACAAAATAAGAATTTTGGGAAGTGTTTATAAATATTTATAAATTACCTGAGTATTGGTGGAATAATATAATAGAAAGATCAGATTTGATATTATAGGAAAAAAATCGCATTTGATTTGAGATGTTTAAACGACCATTAATTAACAAATTAATCTTCGTAATTCTTTCCAGTACTTAACAACCTTAGTGCTGGAGATAGTCTTTCTTCCTCTCTAAAACAGTATCCCTTTGCATTAACTGCATCTCTCATAACTGTATTTCCTTTTTCAATTTTTGGGCGAATTTTATTCAACAGATAATAAAGTCATCCGTACGTAGATAATTTCTATAATCAAAAGATTTATTTGTTTTTAGCTCTTTTAATAACGTGAAATTCAAAAATCTATTTCTCTGGATTAACCAGAGAAATAGAAGGAAAATCCATTTCTCTAGATTGGACCATCTTTCTGCCCATTTCTTTTTAATATTTACTTTCTTTCTATTTTTTGTAAGTAATAATAAACTTCCTTTTACTAACAGTAATATTGGAGCTAGAAAATGATTCGACATTTTAAAATTGAAGAATCGATAGTGTGGAGGTAAGCTGACTCTGATGCAGATTTCATGAAACCTAGATGTCGATGCATCGTCGCATATTTTAAAATATGTGGGGGCCTAGTCTAATAAGTCTAAGTTTCAGAATCTAAGTTATTCCTTTATTCTTTTATTAATGAAATATCGTCACGTTCAATTCATTAAATAAAGAATTTTCAATGCAGATTTGGCAATTTTTTTATTTTAATTTCTATCACTGTGATATATATATTGGTATGATAATTATACATATGATATAATTTATATATATGTCGCCTCGTCTGTTTAATAGTAAACGCTGCAATGTAAACCTTGCCTAAATCGTTAAGGCAAGATATACAAAAATGGAGTCTAACCTCTTGTGCTGGAATGCCACAGACGTTTTTTGTCCCAAAGTTGGAATATTTTCTTAATTTTAAATATATTTAAATATAATCCATGCAAAACAAATAATAAATTTATTACTTCTTAGTAATACCCAGTGATATCAAAGTTCAAAAAAAAAGCGACGTTACGGTAGTAAACGGTTTGGTCACATGTATCAATAAAACCAATTGTCAGTGCAAGGGGTTAAAGACTTTTGAGTGTGTAACAAAAAATATATTGCATATTAGATATATTCTATGCTTTGTCTGTAGTTATATTAAAGATTCAATGTTGGACTGATTTGTTAATAATAAACTATTTTCATTCATGTATATGTTAAAATATTTGATAATTGACTATGAAAACATTTAAATATTTTTTTATTAACAATTTTACATTCTTTTTAATAGTTGTATTACGATCTGTACCTCACATTTATTTTGTACGAAGCTGTCATGTAGAGGAAATAGTAATAAATTTTATTCCATGTTTGTCATGTCAAATTTTGTTATTTATGTTATTTTTTGCTATTATATATGTCACATTCATGTATAATATTTGCTGTATGTACACACATATACACATTTTATATTACTATATTTATTATACGTAGAAATATTTAGTTGTAAATATTTCTATAATGTCAATTCAAATCAATATTCACAAAATATTGTATTTCATCATATATTAAATCAACATGATAAAAAGATACAATATCTTGTACAATAAAAAAGAAGTGAAAGCAGATTTAAAAATAAAATTCATTACAATATTCAGTTCACACTTGATAATCATGAGAGATACTAAATACCTTCCCAAAATTTACTCATTCATATATAAATCAACCAAAAAATTCTCATCTGAATTAATTTATACTAAAGTCTCAAATTCATTTTATTACCATATAATAATTTTCCATTTTCCGTAACTTTTACCAAATTTTGTATTCACAAAAGACATATTGTTCACTTTCATCTTCATTATCTTTTCTTATAACATTTTTAAGCTGCGATTGTATGCTATCCCAATAAACGCTAATACCAAAGAGAATATCTTGATAATCAATAATCTACACATTTAAAATCACTAATGATTAGGATGTTTCAACTGATTTGTATTGTATCTTAGTAATCACAGTGTATATATTAATGACATAGTAATACATAAATAATATAATGTAATAAGGTTATAAATGTACTATAATAAAAAAATTGGTAATTAATCATTAATATTATTTTTCCTTGGTACGAATGTTTTTATTTTTACTTGAAACACAATCTCTTTGGCATTAACGTTATATATTTTTGAACTTCACTGAACATTGATGATGCATCTCTTCAATGTTTCAGAGTCAAATAAATCTTTATTAGAGATAGAGATATAAAGATATAGATAAATTTCATCTAAGCCATAGCTTCAACCGAAGAGCATCTACACCGTTCAAATAATACCGAAACAATCGTTTATCACGCACAAAACCAAGATTCTCATACAAACGTAGAGCTGGGCGATTAGTGATTTCTGTTTCTAAAACTACTTCACCAGCATTATCTTCCACCATAGCTTGAATTGCTCTCCTTACTAGATTGGAACCAATTTTTTGTTTTCGATATTTCACATCAACAGCTAGCATTGCAATATATCCACGCTTTATGACTTTTCTGTGAATATCTAGTTTGCAGACAATAGCACCAACACACTCATCACCATGCATTGCCTTGACAAACAAAAAGCAAGAGTTTTCTGTAAATTTTACATATCTGCAAGACAAAGGAATCCAACCGAAGTTGGCTATTTATACTTTGTAATACAATATTGATAATTTCTTAGATACAATTGTACAAATATATATACATATATGAAATACAATATATACATCTTCATCAGCATCATTTCAATATGTTTGATAATTTTACAAATATACATACCAAGAAACATAATTTTGGCCAGTTATAGATAAAATATCTATAGGTATAAATAGAATATGGTTCACTCAAGTCTTTTTGTATTAATTTCATGATATCGGGCATTTGCAGTTCACTTGTATAACTAACATATTGAATATTATTATCCCTACTTTCCAATGATAATGTTTCTGCTAAGCAAGTAAATTAGTTTACTTACAATAATTGATTGTTAAAAATTAAACATTAATTTCACATACCGTGCTGTTTTAAGTGCCTAGTTTCCATAGATTCAGGTTTTGAAAGATTACCCATGCTAGTAATTCTTTCAGAATTACAAATACCATTAACTAAAGATATTCCATTTCTATGTGATTCTCCATACATTTCAGTTGTCTTCAAACTAAGTCGAGATGTAATGTCTAAACTAGCAATATCTGTCAAAGAATTTTCATTCTTTTTTTCAATACTACTTTGTTCACCTTCAGATTCATTTCCATCCGTAATATTGTCCATTTTAACCTTTTCCATTTTCAATTTTTTCGATACTTCTATTTTCTAAATATTTTCTTAAAATACAATTTCGGTAAAGAGTTTTAAAGGTGAATTTCTATCTTTCTAAAGAATATATTCTTGCGGCATTGATGTTTTTAAATGTCACACCAATTTTTTAATCGAGTTTTCATAATTACAACAAGTTATACGATTTCTCTTTGCTTTTGATATTTTTAAATATAAAACTTTTATGTAGTTCTTCAACCAACAGACACCATATTGAATTTCTGCAATAACCGATAATAAGACAAACATAAACAATGTGAAAATAGCTATCATATCGTAATACTATTGCTATGTCATTTTCATTATTTTTAATTACAAAATATAAAATGCAATTACATATTATATTTACATATTATATTGATTTTGGAATATTTTCTTTTCTCTTTAAATGTATGAAATATTCATAACAATTCATACGAAGTTTATATCAATATGAATAAAATTTTATTGATTGTAAATAAGTACAGAATAGATTTGCAAAAATAGTATAATTAAAAATAAATGTTAATAGAATAATTGACAATCTTTTTCTTTTTCATACGTATTTCGTTCTGTTGTTGTAAGAGGGCACTTGTGTTGTATGACTACACCGGAAGTGAATAGAAGTTCTAATATCAGGAAAGTTTAAGTCTCTTTTCGGTCAAACCACGATGGGTAAGTTCTTTGCTTTGAGATGAATTTTATTTTTATCGCTTTAAATCGGTATTTTTATCATTAAAATTATTATTATTAAACTATCAGTTATTTGTAAAAACATTAATTCGTTTTATTTAAATACATATTTTTTAAGTATAATTTAACTACTTAAAAATCTATAATATATTGATGGTTCTAACATTTCCAATATTTTAGTGAATTTTTGTTTATAATCTATTTTCTTTTCACGTAATTATATGTATACTGTAATTTTCTTTCAATGATTGATTCTAATTCATTATTTTTTTAAATATAAATTTAATGTCCAAAATTCCATTGTCAAAGTTGAAAATCTGTAATGATACATGCAATTTCTTTATTTATTTTATTATACATAAAAATATTTCTCTGTTAGGTATCTCTCGTGATCATTGGCATAAGAGGCGAGCAACTGGTGGTAAAAGGAAACCAATCCGTAAAAAAAGAAAATTTGAGTTAGGGCGTCCAGCTGCAAATACAAAACTTGGAACTCAACGTATTCATACGGTATTATACAATTTCTATTGTAAGCAAATGATTTATAATCTGTTAGAAACAAAGTGTAATAAGTCTACTGATTTTACTATAAAAAAATATAAAATTGTTTTTGTGCAAAAATGTACAATTTTTTTCTTATAATACGACAATATTTGACATATTAATCGCCGCATCACCCATATCTAGGTACGAACTTATTTTTAAATTTAAAAAAAATTAATATTTCATGAAAAAATAAGTTTTTAATAATGAATTATTTTTAAATTAACCAAATTAAATGATGTAATAATAATACAGTAAATAAAATTATTTTAAAGAAGTTTACTTTGTTTACATAAAAATGCATAACACTATAATAGTTATTTGTGATTTATCGGAAAACATTTTAAATAAAATTAACTGAGATTGTTTGTTGTAAATTGTCTAAATGGTCTATACTTGAAAAATGTAAAAAATGTGTAAATACTTCTAATTTGACATGCTAACTCATATTTTAATCTTAACAAAAAACATAAAAACAATAGAATGGCTAAAGAATAAGCCTATATTGTTAAGTCCACATGAAATCTACTTGATTTACATTCAATGATGAACATGTTAACATGAAATGATGACTATCTTTACCTACTCTGAATATTGTGCTGACCTACATCCCACAGCGTACTGAATGAAATTATTTACATTATATTATTAAATTGTTACTAAATATTTATAATCATTCATATTCATATGTAAAATAGGTACGTACAAGAGGTGGTAATAAGAAGTACAGAGCTCTTCGCTTAGATACAGGAAATTTTTCATGGGGCTCAGAATGTACTACAAGGAAGACACGAATTATTGATGTAGTTTATAATGCATCAAACAATGAATTAGTGAGAACCAAAACTCTTGTAAAAAATGCAATTGTTACCATTGATGCAACACCTTTCAGACAGTGGTATGAAGGCCATTATGTTTTACCATTGGGTCGTAAACGAGGTGCTAAATTGGTATGTGAATAGACATTTCATTTCTCTATAATATATAATTAAATAAATTAATAAATTGATAAATATTTAAAATAGACTGAAGCTGAAGAAGAAGTTCTGAATAAAAAACGTTCAAAAAAAGCAGAAACTAAATATAAAGCAAGACAAAGATTTGCAAAAGTTGAACCAGCTTTGGAAGAACAGTTTGCTACAGGACGAGTTCTTGGTAAGCAAGATTCTCTATTATATAAATTAATTTTCATATTATAATTTTGGATTCAACTTTGGTTTAAGATACATTAAATTTATACATATTGTATAATATATTTAGATGCTATATTGGTTTTGATGTAGATCAAAAATTTTTGGCAATATTTTTCTTCATAATATAGCTTTATTCAAACCAACATCAATTCATTCTGTTGAGCTTCTAACAATATATATGTACATATTAAAGTAAATCAAACTTTATATATAATATTCTTAACTTCACTACTACTAATTATAAATTATACAATCATATCAACTGTTTTATATAGCATATTTATATTTTTCTCTGTAAAACGATACAAACATTTTCTATGAACAATAAGAAAAAAATATCAAATGTAGATTCAAAAATGTTTTATTAAAAGTTTATAACAAAAACTTGAAATAATGAACTGGCTTTTGTTTGATATGGCATAAAAATAGATTGCCAGTATTATTGTGATTTGTACTAAAATTGTAGTTCAATGAATTTTTTTGTAAATGAAATATTCTTGTAAAAATCTTGAATGATGTAAGAGTCTTTTAAAGCATTTTCATTAGTGAAACTGTAAATAAGATGCATCTAATATGAAATCATGCAACTTATTATTGAATTAATATGAGCCACTGACTGACCGTAAGTAGTATATTTATGAATAAATTAGACAAATATTGTTCTTATACTATATTGAATAAAAACCAATTTGTTATTTCATATTTTTTTATAATTATTTTATAAAGCATTTTTAAGCTTACATTTATGTGACATTTTTCTCTTATGTTTTTTTTTATTGTTTATATTGAATTACTGTACTGTTCACAAAATGTTTTGTATCACTGGAAACAACAAAAATATTTGACATTTGTCATGATTATTGGTTTACACAGTATATAAAAATATTTTACACATTTAGACCTAAGTACGAGATAAAACATATTAAAAAAATTAAAATTGATGATCTTGAATGATATATGATTTTGTTTGCTAGTGAAAGAAGTTTTGAGATCATTTTTATTTTCTAAAATTTATTTTTTTTTTTTTTTTTTTACATACCAATCGATTCTTTTTTGTTATTCCTTATTTAAAAAAATATTGAATTATTTGTATCTGAAAATAATTCAACAGATATTTTAATATTACTTTTGCTGAATTTTATGTATGAAAGAATATAAAAAAGTAATGTATTCTTTTTATGTTTTTTACCTTTCACATAATAAGTCTTACGAAGAATGTTAAAATTAAAATATCTTTTGAATTAATCAGTATTTCAACAGAAGTACTTTCATATCTTTTATAAAAAATAATAAAATATATCAATTAACGCATAAAATATATCGTTTGATTTTAAAAAATCAAGAAAATCTTAAAATTTTTAAGATGATAGATAGTGGACCAAATTGTGCACTATATAAAAATAGTTACATAATTGTACTTCATAAAAAATATTTTAGACATTTATTGGCAAAATTACATGTACAGTACAAATAAATGCACTCTGTGCATCTTTTTTATTTCATAATATGTATTATACATGTTATTTAAATATTAAAATACTGTACATTTTTGTATAAATTTTTAGTTATCAACTTCATATTTTGATTTCAGCTTGTATATCTAGCAGACCTGGGCAGTGCGGACGAGCAGATGGTTATATAGTTGAAGGAAAAGAACTTGAATTTTATATGAGAAAAATTAAAAGCAAAAAAGCTAAATAAATATGTAAGATAAAAAATAAAATAAAACAATCTTGACAAAAAAAAAGTGGATTATAACTTTACAAGTAATAATAAATCTAATATAAATATCTAAAATATCTAATATTTTAAATTTCTACCAAGTATGTGGTTTGCAAATGTAATATTCCAAACAATAAAATAGTTGTAGTAAAATAGCTGATAGAATAATTATAAATTGTTTTTAAAATTAGAAGTATTTAAGACAGATAACGCAGACTTTTTTACAAACTATTATTAGTTATAACAAAATTTTAAATGTTTTTCTACAACAGTTTCAAAATTAATATTTTAATTCAATGACAATTAATAATAATCTAGAGTCTTATGTATATTTATGTGCTTAAAATTGCTATTTACTTATTTTGTTGCTTAAATGATTTTACGATGCAATGTTACAGAATATACAGTGATGGATTCGCACATTGAATAAAAGATTACTCACGTTTAAAGTTCGTGAAACAAAATCGTACATTAATCTAATTGATCTTATTTTAAAACATGAAGTCTCTACTATATCAATCTTAAATTCATTTTTTCCGAAGATGTTTCTAATCGTACAGCAAATGGAGAAGCAAGATATTTTCGTTGTCCAAAACATATATAAAAATTTAAATGCTTCCAGAATTACTGAAAAATTTTGTTCAAAACTAGATCTTCTGTAGATCTCGAAAATCAACGTTCTTTCACATCAATCCTTTGAAACTTACTATACTTTTTGAACATTTTATTGAATCTTGAACATCAGAGTTAAATGACAAAAATTCAAGAAATCCTAATATTCTGCCATTTAAGCCTAATGTAATGTTCAAAGTTCAATAAAATAGCGAGAAAAAATCATACAGTTTTGAAAGCTCGTTGGAAAAAGAAGACTTCAATCTTCAAGACAGTAGATAGTTGTGAAAAAAATTTAACATTTTTAAAAGCATCCGAATTTCTACAATTTTCAAAGACAAAAGTATCCTTGTTTTCTGACTTATCGCAAAATTGAAAAATATTTTTGAAAAAAGTAACGTAAGACTGTCAAAGTGTGAGCTTTATTTGTAAATAACACAAATTGTATTATATGACTGTTTTTTTATAAACTTATAACAGTTTAAAATTTAGACAATTTTTCATCAAATATGCGAATACTTTCATCCTCCGTATGGAAGGGATATGCTCGATTCTAAATATCAAAATATATAATGATGAGAAAAGTTCATATATAAAAATGTCGTTTGAGATTTATTTTTCAAGCTATAAATGATAGTACTTAATAGCAATGTTATAATAAATCAATATCTCTACCTTGCATTTAAGGATGCATTTACTTGTACTTAAATAAATACGAATACATATCTGTGTATACATAAGTATTTTTATTTCAATATTGAATATTTTTAATTACAATATTTATTTGATATCGGAAAAAAGCATCGAATGACGCAAATATTGATATGACAGTACAAAATTAATATAGTAAGTTGCATGCTTGCTATATACAACTCATTCAAAAAATTTAATTTGTACATGCGTGTGTTTAAAGAAAACTTATTTAAATAAATAATCAGATATTTTATTATTTAATAAATCATTTAAGAATATTCGTTTACATATGATCATGAGTTATTAAGTATAATATATACAGTTTATGAATCACTAATGATATTTATGTCAGAGTTTACTTTCTTTCATATTATATTTAAATCAGATATTGAAGTATGACCAGTCATTCAAAATTACATAGCCATTGAATTTACAGAATTAATTATTTAAAAGATATAGATGAGAAAAAGTTTAAAAATGACAAATAGTTCAATATTACATTATCTTAAATCGTAAAAATACTCTTTGACAATTTGATCACAAAGAATGGAATGAAATGAAACATGATTACACATAAATAACTTGGTTATATGTACATATTTTTTACAAATGTGGATGGGCACTTTTTACATTTTCTTTAAATGTATAGTAAGAAAATGAACAATCACAATTTCCCAAATGTAACATTAATTTCCAAATACATAAAATTATTTATACCATACTATATATAACATTTTCATTTATTTCAATTCTTTATACAGAACAGATAATTCTTCATATTTGTGTAAAATGAAATACAAATACTATATTTACTTCATTTCATTTTTTTTTCTTTTTTACATATTCTTAATACATGATATAAAATGATTTTTCCTTAATTTTTCTTATATATTAAAAGTTTCTATAAATATACATTTATATATATATTGATACAGACAGAAATCTTTATATATATATATAATATCTATTTATATTTCATGTGTATATATATCAATTCATATTATATTATATGTATGTTTATATATTTTATATAAATATATACACACATACATATTATATATATACTATGACGAATTTCCATCACCTTCAGTTTCAGAAAAACACAAAGTTAGTGATGCTGAAATCTCATTTAGTTTATTATGAGGCAATTCGTATGTCCTATTAGTAAGACTATTTATTTTAATATTATGATTCTGAAAAATATAGAGGAATTTGTTTGAAACTTAGAGAAATGAAGGTAGAGAAGCTATGAAGGGGCCAAAGACATATTTAGTGTAAGTTAATACATTAATTAAATGTTCAATTAAAATATCAATATTAATTTCTATGTTAATTAAAATATGAAATGCTCAACAGATATATACTAAATTATCTTTAATTAATACATATAAAAGTAAAATGTTATTTTTATGTAAAATAATTATTGGAGCAAACATTACTCCTTAAATATATGTTCTTTATTTTAAATTATTTGCATTTTTACATTACAAAAAATTTATGTCTAAAATACCAGTTTGTTCTATGTAATGTCATATTAATAACATTTACATATATGTAAATATAAATTACGAAAAGTTACGTAATAAAAAATACAACCATATTGCTAAAATTTAAAGAATAAGTATATACAGGGTGTCCCCGCGTCGATAGAACAAGATAAATGGAGATGATTCTAATGAAAAAATAAGTAAAAAATAAAGAATAAAATTTTTTCGTTTCAGATTTTGTTTTCGAGTAAATCGGAATATTCGAATATTCTCCGAGTACACGTGCATTTAATGATAGCGTATACGGATGTCTCTGTGTTAATAGTACAAACGAAGAGGTGATTTTACAGGAAAAAATAAGTCGAAAATCATTTCTAAATTTATTCTAAGTAAACAGGTATTAATAACTAATCAACATTACGAATAATATTGATGCTGTTTGTAAATAACATACCATCTGCAAATTCATTCAGGTCCTTGTTAAGTGCAGGCGTACTCGAAAAAACTGATTTACTCAAAAACGAAGCCTCAAACAATTTTATTCTTTATTTTCGACTTATTTTTTCATGTAGAATTACCTCCTTTTCGCTTGTACTATCGACACAGAGATACCTGTATATAATTTATTAAACGGCTTCGATTTCAGGGACTTACACTAATGTGTACTCTAGGCCCTCCACATATTTGATGTCACATGCTTTGTATTTATCATAAGTCTGGGCATCACCTGCTGTTGATTTGAATTTGAAGAACTAGTAATAATAGTAGCAAATGAAGGCTTTTGAGCACATGTCCTCATATGCATTGGCCAATGTGATTGTTGGCAAGGATAATCACAATATGCAGTGTTCCAACAACAGTAAAATAATGCTTCTCTACCACACATTGCACACCATTGTTTACGTTTGATTTCTTCAATACATCGTAACTTCTCTTTTTCAACTTCTCTACGAGTTTCCTCAACAGCACGTAATCGTTCGGCTTCTAAGCTTGCTTTCATTTCTCGTAATATCCTATCTATAATAAAAATAACATTTATAAAATATGCATGTAATCCTTATTTATAAGCAAGCATAATAAAATGTAAAATAAAATGACATACAAAGTTGTACATACCAGTATTGTGTTTTAATTCTGCTAACTGTTGTTGATGTTGCCATCTCATCCGTTCTATTTGTAATTTTAGAAAATGTACTGTAGCCTGGTGATTTTCAGACACAGTGTGGCTCTCGCAATTTCTATTTTCTTGAACTGCCTCCTTATATGCTTCTTCCATTAATTTAGCCATTTTTTTAGTTAAATTTTGAGCATCATGATATAAACGAGCACTAATAGGACCTGCTTCTGGTGGTAACATTTGGTACTCAATACAATTTTCAGTTCGATGAATAGCTTCCACGGAACTGGATATATTTGTCGATGAATGAGGAACGAGTTGTGGATAATTACGAGTCTTATTAGGAAATGATTTTCTAGCTTTACTTTCCTTTATTTCTTGATCCTTTGTTCTTGACGAGTCTCTGGAAGTTTGTTGAACTTGAACTAAAGTATCGCTTTTTTTTCTCTCTTCAATAGTTTTCTCAATACTTTTTTTTACATTAGACATATCATCATTTACGGAAGGCAATACAATAGATTTATCTGCAGCATTTTTCCTATGAATATCAATATCACCATTAATATCAGCATTAACTGATGTTTTATTAGTCATTATTGAAATGGATGATGCTGTTAAATTACTGTTATCATTTTTAGAACCATTTTTTAATGTTGTCGAATTATTTTGCTGTTTCATTGATATTATCGAGTTTATTATATTCTGACTTCGTTCTGTTGTAGAAAATTTTAAAGCTTTCTCTGCATTCATTTTATCGACTATTCTAGTCTTTGGTTTATAAATTTTTTCTGTATTTTCATTATTTTTAAAATTATTCTTTTGACCGACTCCTCCTTTATTTATATTCGTTTTAAAGGGAAGTTCCTGTTTGGGTATGTGAATATCTCTTGCCACATGCTTTTTTGAAGATGCTACTACTTGCAAGGATGAATTCTCCAAAGATTTTGTATTATTGTTTGTTGCATTTTCAAAATTATTACCTTGTTTCAGCATTGCAAAATTTGATTCTTTTGTGTCATACTTTATTGCATTACTGTTTTCATCACTTATATTATTAGTATTAGTTTTACTTGTACTTGGCTTGCTTATATCTTCTTTTATCTCCTTCTCCAAATTTGCTGATAAATTTTTATCTGGTTGTACATCCTCTTTAACTACTTTTTTTATTAATTTACTTAAATTGTTGCTTGTAATTGTAACTGATTCAGTTTCATGAAAATGATCAGGTTCTTGTTCTACTTTAGATGATTTATTTTCAATTTTGTTTCCTTTGTTAATTGAATTAAATTTAATTGACATTTTATTTCCAATATCGGAATTGTTTACTTGCTCAGAATCTATTTGCAGATTAGTTTTAATGTGCATTCGCTTTTTAACAAATGGTGTCTTTTTAGGAGTCAAATGTTGTGAAGATGTACAATTATTAGAATGAAGAGGATCATAATTGGGTAACATTAATTTTATTTGCATTGGGTCATGAGGATTGTATTGCACTCTAGGAGGTGCAAATTTAAATTTACCAAATACAAGCTCTAGCTTTCGACAGTGACGAGTAATTTCGTTAACACATTCTTCCATATCTAATTTTCTCTTTCTTGGTAATGGAACAGGTGGTTCTTCTGAATATAAATATAAATCTCGTGGAGAAACCCATGCTCGATCGTGTTCACCAAAAAATCGCACATCGATAAAACCTTGAGAATTAATTCGAGGCATAGCTTTAGCAGGCCAAAATGGAAAGCCTTTTAACTTTGCCCATACAAGTGGATGAGGATGACGACAGGGTTCAATAAACCATGCTGGATGTGGTCTTGGTAAATTTCTACCATGAGCATAACAATCAGGACAGGCTTCAATTTCTGATACTTCTTGACGTACTAATTTAATAATCTGTTTTGCAGCATTCGTTAATTTAGATGTATCAGTATATACACCACCACCTGTATAATTTAATTTAAATAAAGCCTATTAATATTATTTTCCTAATTAATTTAATTTAATATTAATTTATATTAATTTATATTTATCATACACATACATGTATTAAACACAATGCAATTGTGTTGTATCCATTTGGCATCAGCCATGAAAGCATCTGTACTACCATATAATTTAGACTGAACATTTGATTCTAAAAGACTTAAATCCATTGGTTTGACTACATAATCTAAATAATTTGGAGCTTCAGACAATTCTACCGGTTTCCAAAATGGTTCTGACTATGACCAAAATACTTAAAGTCAATTTTACTAAAAGAATACAATGCAAATTAATACGAATAAAAAATTAATACATACACCAGGATATTCTCTCATTCTCTCAACTACATGTTTCAGTAGCAAGCATAATTGATCAACCGATAGCTGTGCCATAGCTGTAGAACGTGTTTCTGCATTTTCTGCTTGCAAAATAGCTGCACATTCTCCACATATCCAATTTTGAATAATTGATTGTTGCATTCCTATACATTTCCGATGCCATGATCTAGGACAAGCACTACAATGTGCTTCTACAGATTCTTTGTGACATCGCCAACAAAATTTATCATTTACATTTTTTTTTTTTCGTTTATTTTTTGAATTACTTTCATCTAGGGCTATATCTGTTTCTTGTGTACTAAAAAATAAACTTGACTTTTTAATTCATTACTTTGTGGAACATTATAATTTTAGTGTTTAAAATCTTAATTTTTTGTATTAGGCTTATTTACAAATAAAATGAAATTAAAAAAAACTTTAACTGTAAAAATAAATATTGTCTGCACTTACCTAATATTTCGTCTTGTCCTCTTTAAATTAGCTCCACTTTTAGATGTAGTTTCTTTTACATTTTCATTTTTATTTGTCTTAAGTTCATTGTCAGAAACCGAAGAAATTGCATCCAACTTTTCTGCATTCTGCCTATGTTCTATTTTATTCATATTACATTTTACTTTTTTATTATTTTCTACAATAATCATCTCCTCATTTTTCCCTTTTTTCTGATCAGAATTTGTAATATTTTGTGCATCTTTATTGTCTTTTATATCTGTAGTGACTACTTTATTTGTGTCAACAAGATTTTCTCCGTTTTGAATATTTGTTAATTGCGAATTTTCTTTTTGTGATTCAGCTGAATTTTGTAGATGCAAAGAACTTACAGAATCTTTCCGTGCCTCTATTGATGTCATTTTCACTTATTATAGGCATTTAATTGAACACATGTTTACTTAAACAATATTGAAAACAATAATTAATAATCTTTATAGATATGAGAGATTATTTATATATTTAAAAAAATTTTTTTCATGAAATTGATTTAAAAATAATTCTATATGTCATAATTAAATAATAAAATAATAGTTATAATAAAATGCAGTATGTAACATTAAAGAATTACTATAGAAAAGTAAAATATAATATTTAGTAAATATGAGCTAGAAATATTTATGAAAGAAAATAAAAAATTTTAAGGAATAGAATAAGAGATAAAAAAGCTTCAATAATGAAAAATATTTACCAATATCCTGTTTTGTGATCGCTCTTTTAACTGCCAAATTAATAGATTGTCAATATCTTTTTGTCTATTTATTTCTATAATATTTATGTAGTATATATAAATGAAGTATTTAAATTAAGTTGAAACATTTATATATAATAAATAAATAAGAATAATTAATATAGCTCCAATAATATTATTGTATTGCATCGATTAACAGCATTATGATAGAATATAATATGTAATATAATAATAAGATGAAGGGGTTTTTAAATATACTCACTACTATATATGCATACAAAACGATTACCATAGAATTCACACATGAATACAAGAATAAAATTAATAAGGATAGCTTCAATGATTCTTAGAACTTTTGAAACATAGCCAATAAGTCAACTAAATCACTTTTAAATCCCAAACAACAAAAATAAGCGAAATATATCACTTACAAACACGACATTGAATCAAAAGCGTGAACATTCTTTAAGCCCTCCAATGTACTAGACTCCTAACCCACTAGTGTCTCCATCCTTCGGTTATGTTTGTAATTAAATGTATAGAAAACCATGTTTCACAGACGAAGTAACAGACGAAGTATATGAATAGACATTGCATACGGACTTTTATGGCCCGTGAAATATCCACATACTAAGACCCATTACAGTGTTGTCAAACTTTTAATACCGAAATGTGAAGCTAATAACTAACCGAAATCATTCTATTGTATATCAGAAAGAGATATACTATCTATGTTTCACGGATCACAACTTTTTTAAATATAGTAAATAAAAATTTTTAAATTATTAATACATGGTTTTATGTACAAATAATTTATGTTGTATTAAACATTATTAAAAACAATTTTTAACTAACTAAATTTTCAACTATTTTAAATTATTATTAATATTAAAATATTAAAATTATTATATTTCCTCGTTTGCTTATATATTTAAATTTATGTTAAATTTTTTACAATTTTATTATAATAATACAGTACATTGGTTGTGACAAATAACATAAATTCTATAATTCATTAAAAATTACTTGTTAAATTGTTAAAATATTCGAAATTTTTCTATAAACTATTTTGCCTATGAATATTATGATAATAACAAATAACAAAACTTTGTTATTTATTTAATATAAATCTTTAATATTTCATAAAGATTTAATGAAAAATACAAACATATATACGGCATATATTTTTATATATCTCGCAAAATCAACTAAAGAAATATTTTTACAAATTTGGTACACATTATGTGATGCAAATTATATTTTTACAGATCGAGTGATAGGGGAAATTTTAAGATTAAATGAAATGGAACTTTATATTTTTCTTTTTGACATTTGTTGAAACGAACTCAATGACTCACGTTTGATGTTATTTATTGTTAAAAATTATCTAAAATTGCGTTATAAATTATTGTGTAAATAACATTATAAATTAGGTAATTAAGTCTGAATCTGAATTAAATCTGACGGCTAATATTTGTAATAGAATGACACAATAAACTGAGATTCAGATTCTTGAAACTGAAATCCACACGCGAAATAAAGACCACTAATGCTAACTACTTTACAATTTCACAGACTGTTAGTAGAAAAAAATAAAATTAAGATAACATTCAATAACTTCCTGATATAAAAATATTGTGCGTGAGCTGTTTTCGTCGCGTTTATATATCTTTTTTTGATTGACTGAATCTTACATTAGATTCATAGCATGACGAATTTCTAACAATATATTTAAAGGGATAGATTTCAGATTTCTTATTCAAAGCAGAATTGTTGAAGTACAAGAGGATTTTGTCATGTCTAATATTGTTCTATTCGTCAAGAAACAATTGGCTGGAAGAAATGATCTGCTTATAATATCGTATGCTTTTTAAATTAATTGCATGAAGATTCTTACTGTGAAAATTGTTTTACTTATAAAGATACTACTTTGTATGATCTAGCTCGCCAATTGAAATAAAGGAAAAAAAAAAATATATATATATATAACATATTTTAAATTTAAAATTATAAGAACAGGATTTTTAATAAATAATTATTTTTAATTGTTTTTATGTCATCAATAGTACGTTGGCTTTTTAACATTTATTATTAGTACCTTTGTATGTAATTGTTTTTAAATGCAATATTTATATTTTTATCATGAAAAAATACCACGTCTGAAAAAGTACCTCGTCTGTGGTACTAGGTTTCAAAAATCATGTTTGTGGCGCATTCACTACTTGACTAACTTCGACCGTTTTATTTGATGTAGTTCTCCAGTTCCCTGTTGTGCATAGAGTACGCTAAAAAAATAGTGATTTTTTTTTACTATGGTAATCAGATCATGGGACATGAAATCGATGTCTAAAATGAAGATATTTTGTCTATATTCTGAAGTGAAAATGTTTATCCTATACCTTGTAGCGATCTATGACCATGTGACACAAAAATGCATTGGATGTCATGTCTTTTCTATACTTCGTCTGTGCTACGACCTACGACCATGTGACAAAAATGCATTGGGTGTCATATCTTTCCTATACTTCGTCTGTGGTAATATACATGTCTAAAGAGAGCAAAATTTATTGAATTTACTGATAATAGCATGAAATATAAAAAACCTACACAAAAGTGTAACGATTAATAGTACATCTTTTCGAATATACGCAATATCGAATATACGAAATATCAGTGTATAAAATATAAACAGAAGTTCTGTTTTTACAGAATTCGAGAAATATTTAACAAATTTTTTTCTAAATTTACTTATAATTATAAGTGTTTACAATTATAAGTGAAAAAATAAAATTTTTCAGTGATGATTATGTAAATACAATAACGTTAGGTTATGTAGATTGTCAACATCAATTATATTTATTTCTGTTCATAATTAACGTTAATAATATCCGCTCGAAACGTATAATGGAACTTGGCGACCTGATACTTATTCCAAAACTTGATAATGTTGTATTAGTAGATAAAAGTGATGGAAATGGTAAAAGTATAGATGGAAGACTATGTATTAGTAGTCACCATCTTCTTTGGTCTTCGCGACAAGACAATGGTCAAGAGCTTTGGGTACAATCTAATGATGAAAATTACTGTAGTATTATTTGTTAAATCAATTCATGTTGTATATTTTCTCAATGTTTTTCAGTTATTATATAGAAGTATTGACCTGATAGAAAAGAAATTAAATGCCCAGAGTCCTGGTGGTAGCATTATATTAAAATGTAAAGATTTTCATATTCTTCAATTAGATATCAATTCAACAGATGACTTAACGAATGTTGCACTCTCTATAGAGATGCTAACTTCACAAGGTGAAATATATAATATTATTTTGATTTTTATAAAAATGTATTCATATATATTTTGTGATAATTCTTATTCTTTTCTTTACCACAGAGCAAACTTTACAGTATCCTTTTTTTAATAGACCACAAGCTACTAATAACACTATTATTCAAATAGAAGATGGATGGACTGCGTTTACTCCAGTATCAGAATGGTCCAGATTGTTAACTGCTTATGCAGATGAATGGCGTATAAGTTATTTAAATAAAGACTATAAAGTTTGCAATTCTTATCCTTCTGCTGTTATAGTACCACGTCAGATAGAAGATAAAATTATAATATCATCTGCCAATTTTAGAGATGGTGGACGATTTCCAGTTTTATGTTATAGACACGAAGGAGGAGTGTGTAATACTATAATATAAATATAATACAATAGTTAAATATGTATTTCCATTATTATAATATAACTAACCAATGTTACAGAGTATCTTGTTAAGAAGTAGTCAACCAATGTGTGGCACAAATAAGAGATGCAAGGAAGATGAAAGATTATTAAATGCAGTGTTAGGGCCAGGAAGACGTGGGTAAATAATATATGTATACTACATTAGAAATTTTCATAATCAGCATACACATATTATTATTTATTATAGCACAATCATAATACAGGAATTATTGCTGAATTATAGTGTGGATTTTCCTACTCATTTTAATGAGCTTGAAATATATTATTAGGAACATGACTCTGTTAACTTTATTCTTCTATTCTTTTTTTTTTTTTTAATTTGAGTTAAGTTTTAATTGTGTTCCTTTCCTTTTTTTTTATTTCTTGGCTGTATATTCTTACTGGCAACTTCTTTTATTAAGAATTATTTGTTTCTTTGAATCATTTCAAAATGTTCACAATGTTGATCTGGCTGGTTTTCGCCAGCCAAGAATTTATCTAGCCCAAAACCATGTTCAAACAGTTATTATAAATTCTAATTTTTCTTTTTTCTTTATTAAATTAAGGTATAATTTAAATTTAACTTCAACGTAATTTTAATCTATATCAAAGCTTCAAAAAATACATAATATTGAAATACAATTATGAGTATCTCCAAAACTAAATTGAGCGGTGATTACATGCGTAAGAAAAAAATGTTCAGAATGCTCGCCTAAATAACATATTTCGAGTTCACTGTAATCAGTGACAAAGTCCACATTTACAATAATTAATGAGAATAATTTTAAACTATGATTTTAATAATTATTTTAAAGTATGATTAATATCAATTATTGTGTTTAATAATAATAAAGTTACATTATTTTCATTTAATCAATAAATAATTACATTTGTTAATATTATAGTTATATAATAGATACAAGATCTATTAGTCAAGCTCAAAGTTCTAGAGCTAAGGGTGGTGGTACAGAAATAGATGCTGCCTATCCGCAGTGGCGGAAAGTACACAAAGTGGTTCCGCGACCTCATGAATTAGCAGATAGTTTTTTTAAATTGATAGAAGCTTGTAATGATATAACATGTTCTACTTCTCAATGGATCTCGAAACTTGATAACAGTGGGTGGTTATCTGCTATACAAAGTGCTTTAAATGCTGCTTGTGTAACTGCTCAGTGTCTCCATCAAGAAGTTGCAGCTGTATTAGTTCATGGTATGTAATCAATAAAACGATCAAAAAAATTCAAATATATCATCAAGTAAAAATATTGCTATTCTTTGAGGTATTGACAGGAAATGATATTCCAGGTAGTGCTGGTAGAGATTCTACTTTAGTGGTAACCAGTTTAGCACAAGCAATATTAAATCCTGATTGTAGAACAGTACGTGGTCTCCAAGCTTTAATCGAACGTGAATGGATACAAGCTGGTCATCAATTTTTTAGTCGTACACGTTATGGGCCATATCATCCATCAAATTCGCAAAGTTCAACGCATGCCCCGACTTTTCTTCTTTTTCTTGACTGTCTTTACCAACTTCATTACCAATTTCAATTTAGTTTTGAATATACAGTAGAATTATTGATTGAATTGTACAATCATGCATATTTTTCTAATTACGGAACATTTTTGGGTATTTATATATAATACTACTATATTTATTTTAGTATTTAATTTTAATATTTGAAATATTTATATATAATACTTTCAGGTGATTCAGAAGCAGAGAGAGTTAAACTTCGATTATCCGAACGAACGTGTAGTTTATGGTCATATATAAATCAACCAGAAATATTGGAAAAATGGTTGAATCCTCTGTATGAACCAAACTCAGGAGTTATTTGGCCTAGCGTTGCACCTGTTAGTATTCAATTATGGAAAGAACTTTATCTTGGTCATACAAGCGTTGCTCCATGGAAAAGTTTATTGTCATGGATAAAACAAATAAAACAAAACTATATGGCAGTACGAAAAATTGCCAGTCAATTACAAATTCAGATTAAAAGAGCAATAGAGGAAATGCGTTCAAACTCTGATATATGTTATGATGAGGAGAATCAAGATGAGCATACTTGTATAGCACAATTAAGTCTAGAATCTCAAAGTACCTGATGTATACCATAAACATTGCAAAAAGGAAAAATTTCATTTTGTATAATATACAATATTATAATTTGGACATATTTATAACATAAAGTAAAATATTTAGCAAATGTTTGTCAAAAATTAATTAAAATTTCAAGTCTTTATTTATGTCACATATTTTTAAGTTTTTTTAGAGTAAAAATCATTTTTTTAATAATACAACAATTGAGAAATAATACACATACATATATACATACAGTTTATTATTTATTTATATTTATTTTTAAACAATTTATTATAATAAATGCATATGATTTATATTACATATTTAGGACAGGAAAAAAATATTCATTTCGTGTAAATATCCAGTTCCTTACTTATATTAAGTAATAACAAATATAATGTTATATGAAGTGCACAATGAGAAAATTATAACTTGTTACAACTAATTTATATTTAATATTATTTTATTTTCATTTATAATGATTAAACATACATAAAATATTTTGATTAAGAAATTTAAAAAGAATGATAAAGAAATAAAATATTACATTTAAAAATGTAGTGTGAATTATAAAATTATACAAAATTAATAATATTCTTGAATTATATATTCAAAAGTAGAAATAATTTGGATATAGAAAAAAAAAGGATAAAGACAAGTTTTTACACTTATGTTGAAAGGACTATTAAACTGTAAAAGGAAAAAATGGATAAAAAGAGATAGAATGAATATGAGGAGCAGGTTAAGAGCAACAAAATTATCACTGCCACTGAAAAAAAATTGGAGGAAAAATACTACAGGTATTTAAACAAAAAAAAAAACTAAAAGAAATCCTGTAGTTATTAGCTTGAAATTTAAATATTTTTTCTACATTTTTTAATTTTACGCGAGAACTATATATTAAAATAATTTTAAGATAAAGACTGTAAACAATCAATATACAGAAATTCATTTCTACATGAAACAAGACAGATACAAAGTAAGACAGACAAAACAAAGAACTTCTTTCTTTTTAAATATATTACAATAGTGTGAAAGTAATGAGAAAGTTGTTTATCAAATATAACGATAATTATTATCTTAACGTTTTCTTTTTTGTTTACTTTGTTAATTTCTATAAACTATTTATAATAAAACACAAAGCTCGTTGGCAAAATTTGAACAGTATTTTTCTTTTTAAGTGCAACGAACAGGTTCAAACTTGAAGATCGTCTCTGAACATCAGCTCGATTTCCGTGGATGAGTGTGGATCTAGTCACGAATAAAATTAAAAAACGTGGACTGAATTCAAACCCATCCAAGGCCATCGAACAAATCCATTTTCTATCCTGACGTTTAGACTTGCCGAAATGTGGATTGTGAATGAAAAAAAAAAAAAACGCTTCAATGAAATTCGATGAGGAAGCAACTACACGGACTAAACCAGCAACGGAATCACAAGACAGTGTGAAGGAATGATGCGTTTGAAAATGGAATTACAGAAGTTGCGGGTAGGGGAATAAAAGTAAACGGGTCCGGATTGGTGCATCTCCCTACTCCTTCTACAAGGTCCTTAAGTAGGAAAGGGTGGATGAAACGTAACGCAATAAAAACTTCTCTATAATTTTCTCGTCTATTTTATTTATCTTTAAAAAACCTTTCTAACATTTCAAATTATAGTCACTACGTAAGACATTAAGAAAACTGACCTTTTATATATTTTTTTCCTACATAAATATGTCGTATATATAATATAATATATACATATACATACGTACACCACAGGAATGTATTTGTAAAAACTTTAAAAAATTTGAAAAAAGAAATGTTATATTTTGCTGTGTAATTTATACAAACGTATAAATTTTCATAAATATAACACATAAATATGTAAGGTTTCACAGATTCTTAAGATTTTATTAATTTCTACAATTTACATGCAAATTAATTTACAGAATGTAGACCAAATTTTGTTGAAGTAAATATTTGTGTAATACTTTTTAAAAAATAATTGTAATTTATTACAAAAGATGAAATCGCGAAACAATGTTCTTTGTAACAGAACACATATTTTATCATTCTATGCATTGTAAGAAATCTTCAATTAATTTATTAATATTTATTTTAAATTTTCGTATTTATGCGTATAATAACTTGAAATTACAAATAAAAGTATTTCGTACATGATATATACTATTTACAGTGACTTTTTTATAATGTATAATAAAAGACATATACTGACGGTTACCATTGATTCAATTACAACGAAGGAGGAAGGATAGAAATACAGTTAATTTATTTTATTATAATTGTAACATGAAAAAAAACTTTCTGAACAACTATTCACATCAAAAATAAATATCTGTACTAAATACTGAATTTATTCTATTTGTGTTATAGCTATTGTAATTTAACCAAATTTGTGTTCAGAATAAAAATCACTAAATATCTTTAATAGTGACTTTCTTTATGAAACTGTTATTTGTTGTTGTATACAAAAATATGTAGAACACAATATATTGTATTCTGATATATATATAATGTTCTTAAACATACTTATTATTTATTTAATTTCTTATAATTATACATTTATTTTCATTCACAGTTGTTTGACTAAATAAAATGTTCCTATACAATGAAAAACATAGTAAATGTATAGAACATTTATTTATCTAATAATAATCTACCTGCACTGTATTGTGCTTACACTGGGCGCTATAAAGAGAGAAAATTGTTGTTTGGAATGTAAAATGTTTTTTTTTATAAAACCTCAATGAAACAGAAAAGTTTTAGAAATGTCACATGTATACGTTTAAATAAATCGGTAATGGTCTTACTGCGTTATGTTTTTATAAAGGTATGCGTATTTTTATTAATTATATATGCTCCTCTGAAAATATTGCTTACTGTCAGTAGATTAATTTTTTATTAATACGAAACATTATTTTATCTATTAATTAACCGTTATAGCATTGTTATTATCTTCATTATTGTTGTGAAATTATTATAAGAGTAGATAACCTTTAAACTTATTAAAGAGTTCTATACAATATTGACTGTTTTATATATGATCATTTGTAATTTATATCCAGTTTAGAAAGTGAAAGAAACTGTGCAATAAATAATAATAACTAAAATATAAAATGTAAAGATTAATGATTTTGTATGTAAATAATTTTTATTCTCTTTATACATGTGTATATGAAAATTGTTAAAAAATATAATTTTTAGACCTACAGATATGAACACAACATTAAGCTCAGTCGAGAGTGGCGGTGATAAACATCTACCGGAGACAACTGTACAAAGCATAGCTCAAAATCTAACTACTATGCAAAGTATACAAAATGTGCAAAGCGTTGTTCAAAGTAATATACAGAATATTCAATCAACACAGACCATAGTAGGATCAGTTGGTACGTCTACCAATCTTGTAGGTAAAACAATGTCAATGGATACAAATTCAAAATTACCTGTAATGAAGCCTGTAGTTCCTTCTGGTACCACTTCAACTTCAGAAACAAATAAGATAACCACAACGGTAAAAAAGAAAAATTTTTTTTAAATACATTATTTTGTTTTGAAAAATATTATTAAATATTATATTGTTATAGATTTGTTCAGTGGGTTCCACAGTAAGGATAATTTCTCCAGGTATGTTGAGTACAGTAGAACGTCAAAATCAACCACAGGCTCAGCAACTATTGCAACAGACACAGCAGGTGACAAATATGCCAGCAACTTATCATGTGCCTCGAGGGCCAGCTGCAGTTGCTAATATTTCTGCACCAAGATCCACAGTAGCTACCCCGATTGTTAGAGCAAATACAGGACAAGCTATACCTACAACAAGACCAGGGTATATATTATTTATTTGGAGTATATATTTATATGTTCCAGAAAAGAAAATATTAAAAAATGATCATTTTTGGATTAGCTTATAAATGAAAAATTCCTATGCGACATTTAAGATATCATTATAATATCATTTGAAAAACAAAAAGTAAGTCCTTAATATTTATCTAAAATGAAATGGATAAGTTGTAAAAGTGCATGAGTACAAATATGAAAAAATGACAATGGTGAGCTTTTCTATGTATTACATTTTATTCTCTTCTTTACATGATTCACCTGTAGAATTAGGGCAAGTTAGAAGAAGTAGATAAAATATAAAAAATTGAAAACGCATGAAAAAGCAGTTATGTTTTTATAATTTTCGCATCAAATTTCAAATACACATTTTAAAAATATCTTTTCTAGTTCTGCAAGAATTTTTCATTCAGAAGTTTATTTTAAAATGGCCATTTTTTAATACCTTTTTTTAATTATATAACTAAAAATTAAATATTTCAGTCAGTATAATAGATGAATATTAATAGATGAATATTATATTAATTAATATTTTAATAAATAATATATATATATACCATAAAAATTAGAAGTAATATAGAAATTTTTATCATTTTTTACATCTTCTAGCATAAATACAGCTATTTCAAATCCGCAATGGCAACCTAAAACAACGTCAGTGGTATATGCGCAACAACAAAGGCATCCTGTACCTCCAGTTAGTCGAATCTCAAGACCACCATCAACGGTGTATACCAGTCAACAGCCTCGTTTAATTACACCTACAGGTCAAGGAAGATCTGTACAAGCTACAATGGTTACTGGAGTTCCCAGTAACCCATCTAGATTAATAGCACCTGTTCTGCAGGCAAACAATAGTATTACTAGATTACCAATAACACAAAGCAGACCAGCTACTCCTCAAGTATCAAATATATCACTAACTACACAATCTAACAGATCATCGACTCAAACTATTCAAGTAAGTTATTACTTTTTATAATTGATAAAATAAAATTGTGAACTAATGTTGAAGAAGAATATGAAATAGATAATGTTTATTTTGAATTCAAATTGTAGCCTAATCAGTCAAATAGACCTCTAAGTACCACAGGTATTGTAAATCGTATAGCTGTATCAGCACCTGTAATTGGAACTGCAAATAGAGTAACTGCTTCAGCTTCAGTGACTGTTCAACCAACAGTTGGGAGACAATTATCAATTAATACTGTTGCTACTCCATCAACTGGAACTGTTAGCAGAATTGTAATTCCTTCACAGCAAGTAGGTACAAAGTTATTTCATTATATGTGTTATATATAATGTAAAATCTTTACTTTATTAGTGCTTTAAATATTAATTAAAATTGATTTTATGATAGGTACAACAACAGCAACAGCAACAGCAGCCACAATCACAATCACAAACAATACCACGTGTTGTTCAAACAGTAACTTCTTTGTCAAGTCTTAATACAGTATCACGTATAATTACTACAACAGCAAGTACATCAAATACAACAAGAATATCACAACCCACATCAACTACTGTTGCTAGAATTACTGGGATGTCTTTACATCCTTTACCTTTAGCACCTGCAAGAGTTACATCAGCACCTGCTAAAACAGTACAGGCACAAAGCATCGGACAAACTGTACAAATCAAGACTAATCAACAGTCCGGATTTCGAGTTTCTTCTGCGAGTAATGCAAATAATAATTCAAGTACAACATCTTCTCAATCAGCTCAAGGACAATATTTACATCCACCACATACTGCAACCTATTATTCTTTTGAACCCACAGGTATTTTTTTAGTGTTTCTTGATATCAATGTTTTTGAAACAAAGTTTATTTAATGTTATTACATAGGAGCATATACTCAATACCGTCAAACTCCAGTAAGATTACTTGTTGAACCTGGGTATGATGAACCCCATACTAAAACAAATGCGTCTCCAAGACCAAGTATACTTAGAAAAAGAGATCATGACAATTCACCTATTAAAGGTATGATACTTATAAGTTAAATAATATTATATATATGCATTTAATAAAAAAGTCAATGAAACAGTTTCGAATTTTTAGGTGCGGCTAAAAATTTAATTCCTGTACTAGCATCCTTACCCCCTGTTACAACATCGAGTCCACCATGTTCACCGAGAGGAGACCAAGATGGTGGAGGTTGTCAAAGTTCAGGATCTACAACAGTTTCAGCAACATCGTCACCTGGACTTGATGAAGAACCTGAACAATCTAGAATTACTATAAATCCAACAATAGAAATGTCTCCGAGAAAAAAACCTCGAAAACAACAACTTACTGGAGTAGAATTAACAGAACCAAGGTGTACTGAAGAAGAAATGCAATTTATTACAGAAGAAAGAATGAAAAAGGAGCTCAAGGAAGAATCGAAAGAAAAATTATCTGAGAAAAGACAAACAGCAAACACACAATGTGATGTTATTAAATCTCCTATACAACAACCGACAGTTGCAATGCGAACACGGCCTACACCTAGTTTATTAGGTTTGTAGTGTGAAAAATATGTGTATAACGAAAATCATTATATTAAAAGAAATTATTTCCGATTTTGCAGGACCTTCTTGGAAAAATAGATGGAGCAGTAGACTTCATCATTATAGAAGGCCAAGCGAGGTTAGGCCTCGTGAAGAAAGACGGCCCACAGTTGCAGAAATAGCCCAACAGAAACATGTATTACAGAAATTAAATGGTTGGAAAGTATATCATCTTACTGCGCAAATGGAAGATATTGCTGATCTTGAGAAACAAGTAAATTTATAGTAGACTGATGTAAAATATACATATGTATATTTTATGTAAACGTAGTCTTCAAGTAATAATATAAACTGAAATTTTTATAGGTACATGAAAAACTGAAAACAACATTAACCATGCTTGAATCACAGCAAAATGTCAGGAATAGACAAGATGATGGTCTTGAACGTGTAAATGAATTGATTAAAGGAAATATGCAACGTAGTAGTTTAATTAGCGAAGGAATGAGTGAAGCACGTACGCAACTTATTGCTATATTTCAGCATAAAGGACCTATCACAGATATTTTACAACGGTGTGGCAACAAACGGGCTCAAAAAAAACGGGATAAATGAGTTATTGTATGCATCGAGTTAATATAAATATGTTTATAAAAATCTCTTGCAGGAGCAAGATTTAAGAAGGTGTTATTTTTATCTGTGTCGCAGAATCTATATTATAAGAGTAAAATAAATGGTTTTATAAATCTATCAGACGATACGTCATTAAAATTGCTTATAACTTTTTATTATATAAATTCATGACTTTTAATTTTGATATAATACATATTAATCCTTTATTTTATTTTATATATATGTAGGTATCCATACATATATATTAACATATACATTACATACAGCTACAAAAAATTAAATAAATATAAAATAATTATTTTATGAAAAATAAGATACATTATTAAACTTTTATATACAGTGGAGGAACTTAAATGTACCTGTACATATAACCATGATGTTACCATGGAAGTAATGTATCTTAAAATCTTTACGTAGCAACAATAATATCGGTATTCTAGTGTTTATCAATTATTTTGAAGTTTATAATTTAATACTTTAAAGGTTACAATTTTAATAACATGTGGTGGGGATATAGTCCAGCATTAGATATACAGTCCGAAATTAACAAACACGAAATTAATTATGCAGATGAATATCTCGAGGTATTAATTGTAGGTGCTAGTGATGCAAGACATATTTTGAAGACATTAGCATCATCTTATTTATATAATGATCGCATTATTATATATAATGTAATTGAATCAACATTGGAACAAGTTGCTAGATCTATTCTTTTATTAAATACTTGTTTAGAAACAAATTTGGGTATGTATATTTAATCTCAAAATATGCATTATATCATATTTTTATGATAAAAAAAAACTAAAACATATTAAAGGATTGCAAGAAGCAACTCGATATTACTTAGAGATATTTGGAAATACACTAATAAGACCTGCAACAGCTAAGTATTTGATAAAGTCATCCAAACAATTGTCAGATATAGTAACAACTACAATTGATTGTCCCTGGTTAAATTTGGAACAATTTATGTATAAGGATAGAGATCAGTTACAAGCGATCTTTAAGTGAGTTCATGTACAAAATTTTAAAGTGTAAATTTTTCTTTATTTTCTTATTCTTTATTTCATATATATATATATATACATAAAAGAAATAAATAAACACATATGTATATATATATACATATTTGTTTATTTCTTATATATATATATATATATATATATATATATATATATTTCAAGATATTGGGAATATGCCATATGTAATAATATTCCTATTTTGGAGTATTGGGATCAAAGAATTAGAAAATCATTAAAAACAAGATATGATTATCGGGAAGGTGTTTTTGATTGGGATTATCACATGATTTTAAAATCTAGAGGTATTTCAAACTTAACATTACAAGAATATAGGTATGTTTACTAAATGATAAAATATTTTATTGTATTAGTATATTTTTACAACTTAATAAGTTATAATTTTAATTTTAATGAGATTTTGGAGGAATAATGGAATTGCATTCAGTTGGTTAGAAGGTGAACCTATTAGAAGTAATCCAACATTATTGAACAATATAATGCAATATAATTCTGGATATGTACATTATACTTATTCAGGAGATATTACAAATGGTCCTTTCTTCTGTTGGACTCTACAAGAAGAAAGAAATAATGATAAGATGTATTTTAAATTTGTATATCATTACGATATCGATATTGCAATATTAAAAATAATACAGTAAAATTTATATTTATAATAGATGTAGAGCAACTGATATAGCTGAAAGAGAAATTATGAAATGTATGTATGAAATCATGAATCAAAAATCAATGTGTGAAGAAATCATTGCAGCACATAGAGATTCTTCTATTCTAAATGGAACATTAGTAATTGAAACACCAAATAAAGAAATGAAGCAAGAATTATGGAAAAAAGGCAAAAATAAATATAAAAGCAATATATCTTGGAAAAATGTCAAAAATCACAAAGTAATATAAATTATTATATTATTATTGTTTATAAATTATAAAATTAGATTCATAAATTTAATAATCTATATTGTACTTTCAGATAATTTTCCATCCAATTACATTTTTGTCAACTTCTAAACATAAAACTGAATATATTGGTAGATTTGATTTTATTTGGATAGCTCATAACATGGTGGAACAATTATCTAATCTTGTACCATTACTCAAAGAAAAAGGAATCATGTTGGTAGAACTAAAAAAATATCTAGTAGAATCACGAAATGAAAATTTACAAAATTTTGTAAACGAATTAAAAAGTATGGCACAACGTAATAGATTACGTGAAATTAATGATATTAATATCAAGGAACATTACGTTGCCAGATTTTCCAAATAAATGAATAATTTAAATTATGTCAACTTTTATTTTATGGTATCTGAAATCTATTAAATTTATTAAATACTTCCAATAAAAATAAATGAAATTATGCATATCTATAGATATTTTGCATAATCTAATTAAATTAAATATAATAATAAATTTTCACATAGTTTTTAACTTAAAATGCATTTGGTACAAATATTCAACGTTTCATTAAGTATTCATTTTCGTACATACGTATATACATATTAAAAGCTAAGGTAACCTGTAAAAGAAAAATCACCAAATCTTATGTATAGTGAAAAAACTAAACTAACCATGATTATGAGAATCACCTAAAATCGCGGGAAACGTGTTCTGTTCTTGTTTAGAGGCCCGTGAGATATAGTTACAATTTATTAATACCAAGGCAAGAAATTATTTATAAGAAAATCAACAAATTTTTTTAGTAGTTTGCATGTAATACGCATCGACTCATGTGGACTGATAAAAAATACGTATCATTTCTCTAAGAAATAAGGTATCCCTTGAAAATCGGCCATCGCAGCTATTTTCAGTGATAATGAAAATTATTTTCTATACGTGAATCGTTTATACACAAGCTCTGAATTTTATATTGCATTAATCATTGAAAGATTATATGAGGTTTAATGTCATCGAGTTACTATCATCTTCAATAGACGAAGATGCTAAATTAGTTGGAAAACAATGACTACTATCAACAAAGTAAATAGCAAGGTGGGCATAACTGTTGAATCAGGATTTGGCGAATTCGACAGAAGTTTGGAAACTACAAGCAGTAATTTTAAGAATGACCAAAAGGACTTCAGTTTCAATTATAATAAAACTTCACCTGCTAGAAGTCGTTATGGCAGAACAATAAAACCTAAGTCTCCTATGAATGACATTATCAATTCTTCAAAGGCATGTTATGCCTCTTAAGATCAATTACAATCTTTCTGATTAATGATCAATACTATTCTTAACAAATTATGGTACTATATGTGGCATTTATTAATGTTTTACTTTTTTAAATGATTACTATTTATATGTATATTTATTTATTAGTATAATCAATAAATAAATATATATATAATATAATATATACATAAATATATACATATTTATTGAAAAAATTGATTGAAAAATATATGTATGTATGTAATTTTTACATATTTTTATATGTTAATAGTTTTGTTTTTTAATTGCCATTTTTAATTGCCATTGATATTTTTTCTGATTAAATGTATAATATAACATATAATGTATAATGTAGCATATAATATTAATATATGTAACTTGTAGAATTCTAAAATGCCAAAGAATCAGAATTTATCCAATAGTAGTAACGACAGTATAGATGAAAATAATACAGTTAACGACATGGATGATACAAGTGATTCTTCCACTAATTTAAGCATTATGGAGGAAACTGCACCAAAATTGGTTGGTACATCTATACAGTGTAATTGGATATTAGGTCAATTAGCATGGGCTAGAGTTGGCAATTTTCCTTTTTGGCCTTGTGTTATAACACTTGACCCAATTTTAATGATATATCATAGATTAAGAGGTAAGTTTTTTAGTTTACAAATTTATTAGAATTATTAGAAAAACATACATAGATGTATATTCTGTTCAGTAGTATTGTGTTTTGTTCTTTAGTTTATTATTAAAATAATGTTTAGTTAAATACTATTATTATGTATAATGTATAGAAAATATTTTTCCTTTATTAGTCCTTTTTATTAGTTATTTTAAATATAGCAATTTTATAGTAACTGGTACAATTCATGTAAAATATATTTATATATATATATATGTATATACGTATATTTGTTTGACCAGCTACTGCCAGATCACAAACGCTAATGATACATGTCCAATACTTTGGTGATAAAGGACGTCATAGTTGGGTTTCATCAAACTCTATGATTCCATTTACAAATCTTGCAGACTTTAAAAAATTATCAGAATCAATAACTGCAGAAGTAAAGAAGAGAGATGCTAAATATGCAGCTGCATTTGTTATTAAGCCTGGTATAAAATTAAAGTGGGAAAGTGCGATTGAGGAAGCCATGGAAGTTGAATCAATGAGTAATGATGCTAGAGCTCATGTTTTTAAACCAAAGGAAAAAAACATGAAAAATAAATCATCAAAACTATCGGAGGATAAAAATAAAAGTAATAAAAGAAAAAATTCAAGTGATTCAAATGATTCTGATTCTAAACGTGCTAAGAAAGATAATGTAGGCATATGTGAATGAGATTTATGTATGACATATATATATTACTGATATTACAAGTATTTATATTGGATTATTTCACAGGTACATGATGTAGATAAAGAAAAGACAAATGGAACAAAACCAAAACTACTTAAGTACATTGAAAATGGTAAAAATAATTTGAAACTTAATTCAGATACTCCGCCATTATCTCCTTTAACTCAAAGAAATTCCAACGATGAGGTTTCTCTTATGCAAAAAGTTGAATTTCGCCCTGAAGAAAAAGTAGATGGTGTCTTTGAAGTTTATTACGAACGGAATAGAGATATGTTAGAAGATGAATATCCAGATGCGTCAGAACGTGATATTAAAAAATATTTAAAGAAGAATTGGGATAATATGAATTCTTCTTTTCGCAAAAAATATCGATCGTATATAACATCTGATTCTACTAGTGCTCATACAAAAGAAAATTTATTAAACAATGAAGATGACTTATTGGAAGTGGATGAAAGTACTAAGGATAACAAAAAGTCAAGAATTAAAGTTGAAAAGGAAGAGACAAGTGTTTCAGAAACGAAAAAAAATAAACCTTATAATCTTTTTAAAGGAATGAAACAAGAAAAAGTTTGTCAAATATGTGAAAAGACTGGAAAATTAACTAGATGTAAAGGTCCTTGTTATTCGTATTTTCATCTTTTTTGCGTGAAACCAGGAGAATCTAGTCCAGAGCATTCTATTGATGAAAATATGATGGACGATAAAATTCTTGATGATATAAAAGAGATTAAACAAAGCAATACTGATGATGATGAGAATAACGGTACAGAGAATTCTCAATTATATCTTTAATGTAAAGTATCAATGATGTAATGTGATTACATTTATTCAAAGTGAATATTATTCTTAATTTCAGGCAAATTAGAAGAACAAGATGACGAATTCTTTAAATGTATTGATTGCTTATCAGGTGTAGCACCTGCTTGCTTTATATGTAATGAAAGAGAAGGAGATAGAGTAAGATGCTCTGTATTAGCTTGTGGAAAACATTATCATTCATCTTGCTTGAAATCGTGGCCACAAGTAAGATTATGATTGCAATAGATGCGTGTTCTGATAAATTATCATTTTTTTACAAACTCAATGTGTCAAAACAATTAAATATAGATTCTTACAAGTACACATAGATGTTTCATTCATTCAGAATAGAAATTCATCATAACACGCATCATAATCATAGTTTAATAATCAATAATAAATGTTTAGCGTTATAGAGAATTCCGTTTATCTTGTAAAATATCTCGTAAGGGATCGAAATTGTAAAATAAATGTTCCCATAAAATATTTCCATTACGAGATAAATAGAATATTATACGTTATTTATAAATATTTTTATTTTTTTGTTAGTCTCATTGGCAAGGAGGTCGTTTGACTTGTCCATATCATGTATGTCATACATGCAGTTCAGACAATCCTCAAGATAGTCATTCGAGAGCACCACACGAAAAAATGGCACGATGCGTTCGTTGTCCTTCATCTTATCATACATCTACGTCTTGTTTACCTGCTGGTTCAGTAATTTTAACCGGTAGTCAAATAGTTTGTCCAAAACATTACCAGGCACCACATCCTCCAGTAAACGCAGCATGGTGTTTTTTATGTACAAGAGGTGGAAGTCTTATCTGTTGTGATACATGTCCAACGTCATTTCACATGGAATGTTTGGGTAACTATTTTTAAAATAAATACAATAATTTAATAACATTGTTAGCAAATCACAATTGTATAATTATTGTGCACAAATATTAGTAATAGTAAAATAAAATAATAAAAATGGTTAAAGTAAAATATGATAAATGGATTATATTTATAATTTTAGGTATTACTGCCCCCCCAGAAGGTGCATTTCATTGTGAAGATTGTGAAACAGGTAGATTGCCTCTATATGGAGAGGTTGTATGGGTTAAACTTGGTAATTATCGTTGGTGGCCATCTCGTATTTGTTATCCTCATGAAATTCCTGAAAACATAGAAGCTATATCTCATAGTCCTGGTAAATTTTGCGTGATGTTTTTTGGATCAAATAATTATCATTGGATTCATAGGTGAGTTCAACACGATATATCGTTGTTTAAATTAGATTATGTCTGGAAAAAAGAATTAATGTTTTGTTTGTTTATAGAGGACGTGCTTTTCTTTATCAAGATGGTGATGCAAACATAAAACCGCCCATCGGTAAAAAAAATAGAGATGATACTTATCGTAAAGCATTAGAAGAAGCTAATGAGATTCATCAACGTTTAAAAATCGAAAGAGCAGCAGCTAAAGATCATGGACCACGAGGAGGTTTAAAGCCTCCGCCTTATGTTAAGTTGAAGGTATTTTGTGTGTACGCGCATGATTGATTATTATGTGATATAATGTATAAATCAATTATTCATATTCATTTATAGATGAATAAACCGGTTGGAAATGTAAAACCAACAGAAGTTGAAAGTATTGTTGCCTGTGATTGTGATCCAGAATGGGAAAATCCATGTGCTCCAGGAACAGATTGTCTTAATCGAATATTATTAGTTGAATGTAGTCCCGGTACTTGTCCAGCTGGTTCCAAATGTAATAATCAAGCATTTGTACGAAGACAATATCCAGCTATGGAACCATTTCACACTGCAGAACGTGGTTGGGGTCTTAGAAGTTTAGAACTTATTAGAGCTGGTCAATTTGTCATAGAATATGTAGGTGAAGTTATAGATGAAGCTGAATACAAGCGAAGGCTACACAGGAAAAAAGAATTAAAGAACGAGAATTTTTATTTTTTAACTATAGATAATAATAGAATGATTGACGCTGAACCAAAAGGCAATTTAAGTCGATTTATGAGTGAGTATTTTTTATTTTTAATAAATTAATATTTTGTATTTTAAATTTGTATCCTTGAAACTTGGTAGATCATTCGTGTTCACCAAACTGCGAGACACAGAAATGGACAGTAAATGGAGATACACGCATAGGTCTGTTTGCATTATGCGATATCATAGCTGGTGAAGAATTGACTTTTAATTATAATTTAGTTTGTGATGGTGAAACTCGGAAACCTTGTCTGTGTGGCGCATCAAATTGTAGTGGCTTTATAGGTTTAAAAGTACAGAAGCCGCAAATAACTACACCTTCGATTCAACCAAAAAAATTTGATAAAATTGATAAAATAAAACGTCAAAGAAGGTAAATGACGATACATACAACATATATATTATGTATTAATTTTCCTAATAGTGGAATATTGTATTATTCTGGACAATCATACATAGCAGATATATTTAGAAAAAATCAGTATTTTTTATTCTTTTAATAGTCTCCGCTATTATATTTTTGTCTAATATTTTGGATAATTTATTTTTTTTTATAATTCATCATTTCAATATACAATGTATAATAATAATTGTAAAATAATTAGGTTACGGAAGCGTGTATTATGCTGGGGTTGTGGTCAAGAAATTGAAAAATTAACACAATTTGTTGTTTGCGATCAAAAGACATGCAGTAAGAAGTACCATAAAACTTGTGTGATTATCGATGATACAGATTCGAGATTCAGTTGTCCTTGGCATTTTTGTGCAGAATGTAGTCGTAGAACATCTGCACATTGTTCCTTTTGTAGTGCTGCTTTTTGTCAAGGTAAATAATTTTGTAATATATTTGTAATATATAATTTTGTAATATATTTGTTTAGTTTATATATTATTGCCTTTACTTTCAAATTAATCGTCATTATTGATAGTACACCTGAATGGAAACCTATTTGAGTATAGTGAAAAGGGTGGTTTTGTCTGTAAATTGCATGAAAATATGGATGTGCAAAGGTCTGCTGAAGATGAAAAAGATTATTCAGATGATACTGAAACAGACAAAGAATATTCTTCTACAGATTCCAATAGCCCGTTAGTAACAATGGAAAAATCAGTACCGCGTGAGCCATCACCAAGAGTTTCTATAGTAGAGGTGAGTTAAAATTCTATTTTAAACATAATAAATTCTTGGAGAGAATTAGTAGTTCTTTTTTATGCATTGTAAGTTTTCATCCAAAATTATTCTACATTCCAAACATTGTTGTCATAATTTTTGTTTATTTGTTGTATTTATATAACAAAAAGTAAGTAAGCATAATTAATAATTATAATGATGGTGAGTACAAGAAGAAAATACATACTAGATATGCAGTGTTTAAAAAGGTGGGAAGTATTTATCACTAATTTGATAAAAAAATTATAGACATAAAACAAAAACATATCATTCTTTGTCTTCCAATGCTTTTATTTTAATTAATATCACGCATATTTTATTCCTATAAGATATTATATTTCATATTTGTATAAAAATTTCACTTACTATTTTCTATTTTATTAAATAGTATTATTTTGCATGTATTTTACATATTTCTATCTACATTTCTGTGTATATATAACATGTATATATAACATGTATATATAAGCAGACACGGGGTGATTTCTCATGAAAAAATAAGAAAAAAATATAGAATAAAATTTTTTGATTTGAGGCTCAGTTTTCGAGATAATCAAGTTTGAAACTCTGCTGCCCATATGGAATTGCAGTTACAATTAGATTACAAACAATGTATAATATTTATTATGTTTGTATGTAATAGCTGTGAATTATTAAATTTAAGAAAGCTAAAAGATATTCTGACAATCATACTTTATTATATCAGTTACAAAATTCTTGAAAATTCTCATTACATGCTTGTCTAATTATGAATGGCTATACATGGTAAAGTGTTTTGACTCTATTTCTTCAAATGTATACTAAATATTCTTCAATACTTTGGAAGGAATACTTTGTCAATTCTATATGGATGTAACAGATTTTTAAACCTGATTTTGTCGAAAGCGAAGCTTCAAAAATATTTTATTCTATATTATGTTTTATTTTTTCATTATTTTTTCCCCGTGTCTGCTTGGCCATTCTGATGCATCTTGCATAAAAAATTATATCAAAAATATATAGTTGAGGCTTTGTAATCTTGTGTAAGCAAATATAATACTTTTGGTCTTGTAACACTTACTAATAAGATCATTCCAAAAGTAGAAAGGAAAAGATTAATAATATTTAATTCATTTTTCCCTTTTTTTTATTTGTTTTTCACTGTTCCCAGCATCCTCTCCCTGACATTGGCAGTAATGAGAAATAGTAGCAAACAAAGATTTAAATTTATATGTTCAAGTGAGTGTATATTTTTAGTATTATCTCTTTGGACCTCTAATTCACTATCACATTAAGAAAATACTATTCTGTAATTAACAAATAGTTTGTAATAAATAGTTTAGTTATTTTTGTTTAATTGTAAAATTAAAATATTAATTGATGAGTAAATAAACATGTTTAGCTTTTAAGCAATATATACTTAAATTTTATTGTTAAATTATATTACATTGTGTAAGTATATATAGAGTGGACCAGCTAAATGAAATCACCTAAAATATCTTCACTATTTTTCTGGTACAAAGAAAAAAACTTCTGAGAACAAAGTTGCACTATTTTAAGAAACAAATGTAATGCTAGAAATATCTTTTTTCCAATGATCGTTTATTTACAAGATCTCAAGATCATCGTTATTTTCATTTTTTATGATTAACCTATATTGGATATTTTTGTAGAGAATGTAAAACAAATTCAATAATCTATTCAGAACCACACGATCATTTATTTTTAAGATATTTGTTAATATATTGCAATTATATAATGCATATAATATATTGCTAATTTATTTTTGATATTTGATATTGTAATTGGAGTTACTGCGCACATGATATCGCGGGTTCCACAGCACACTGATTCGCACATTCGAATGTACACATTCATAAGCATTTAAAATATCTTAGGAGATACTTTGGAATTCATTGATGTTTCGGCTATAAGTATTTAAAATGATGGTCGTCTGCTGCAATGTATTGTTGGAATCTTCTAAACAATTCCTCGTACACATTATTTAATTTCTCTCTAATGTTTTGAATATGCGTGAATCAGTGTGTTATGTAACTCGGAATACCACGTGCGAAGAGATTTCACGTGAAACTTGAGAGGTGAAATGTAATTATATTCAGACGTAAATATCTCAAAAATAAATATTATAGTTCTATAGTCGTTGAATTCGTTTTTTTACGCTCTATAAGAATATCTAAAAATAAATATAGGTTAATTGCAAAAACAAAAAAAACGATCTTGAAATCAGGGACGGAAAAAATATTTCCAGTATTACATTTATCCTTTGAAATAGTGTAATTAGTACTTTGAAGTTTATTTATACAATAAAAAATAGAGGAGATATTTAAATGATCCCATTTCGCTGGTCTATTAGCTCATCCCATAAATTCGTTCCGCTTTTTAACATTTGAAATATACCTGTAAGTGCTATGAAAATATATAATTACTTTTTCATTTTACAACTTCTTCTTATCTTTTTAACGAAAAGGTAATGCCGTCGCTGTAAAATTTCTTTAAGTTAAAATATTTTTGAGGTCTTTTCTTATAGTGTTAATATTATCGTATTTTTGCCAGCTAAAGTGTTGTAACGCTCGAAATAAATGATAATTTGAGGGAGCAATATCTAGAGAATGTGATGGCTGCCATAAAATTGGTTAATCAAATTCACGTAATTTTTTTGCACATTTTGTGCCTCATGTAATCTGGTATTATCATGATGAAAAATTATGTTTTCTTGATTTGCGAGTTTGGGGCCTTTTGTTGCTATTATTTCTCTTGGTTTATCCAGCTATAGTATTTGTTTATTTGATATCCAGCTATAGTATTTGTTTATATCATATCATATACACACACACAAACAAATTTATTGTTTGATTACTGGAAAGCAACTCGAAAAACAAAATTCCTTAATAATCTCACCAAATAGAGAACAAAACTGTGAGAGTGTAGATCTATTTCAGCGCACTATTGAGTTTGTTCTTTCTTTCTGGTTTAAGTTCATTTTCTTTGGAGATTATTATACAAAATCTACTTTTCATCTTCGGTTATCAAACGTTTTAGCAGTTCTTTTTTTATTGCGAGCAAACAATGATATGCACATTGTCATACTGTCAATACGATTTTGTGAGTTGGTATACTTTCAGTTTCAATGTTATTCCAATTTTTGCCTGTGTATAGTTAATGGCAGAATATGTCAAAACTTTGATATTATGTGATATTTCTTGAACTGATAATCTCTTTCTTTCGTCCATCAAATTTTGAATCATATCGTTGTCCATTTCAGATGGATGTCTAGAACGAACTTATGGGATGACCTTATATTATATATAATTTTCATTGTGGGCATTTACTTTACTTGTATTTTAAAATACTTTTGATATTAAACTTAAGGAGGAAAGACAATGGAATAGTTTGAATAAGAATATCTTTAGGAATTTTGTTTTAAACAAACAACGCAAATAATTTATTGTTTATTACATTTAATATGAATATAGAGAATATAATAAAATATTTTAAGTAAACTATGTTCATCTATTTCTAATATTCTTCTTCAAAATTATTCATTATATAATAATAAAATTGGTATTCTTCTATTGTCAGAGATCAGAGAAGCATTGAAAAATTGAATTATTTAACTGATGAAAAAATTTCAATTTAAAACTTTCTATGTGGTGCCAAAGAGACAGACTTTTTTTTACAATAATAGATCTCACTCATGTCAATTGGATGTATTATATTATTGGGAATGTCAAAGCAAAAATTAAAGTTCTATTTATGTGCAATAAGAAAATTCAGTATCTTACCCGTAGGTTGTTACTTGACTATATAAAAATGATTAAGGATACATAAAACCGCTATTATTAATTAAGCCAATTATGCAAATGACTTTAAATGATTTTGTTGCGCTTGGCATTCGACTCTATGGATATGCTTCTTTGTCGTTTTTTTGCAATATTATTATTAAGTATATATATATACATTATCATGTATATTAATTATCAGTATAATGTATAATAATGAATATATATATATATACATTATCAATATGCAATAGTTTTAAGATATTTGTATATAGTCCGTATATTGTCCCGCAACTCGTGGTCAACCGATTAGGAGGTGATTCTACATATAAAAATGTGTCGAAGAAAAAAAGAATAAAATTTTTCATTAAAGCCTTTGTTTTCAAGAAAATCGAGTTTGAAAATTTATCGAATATACTTGAATTTAGTTAATTTTAGATTAGTAAAAGAAAAGAATAATTAACAGGTGGTTATTCTACGTCCGAAAATAAATAAAAAATTTAAAAAAAAATAGAATAAAATTTTTCATTAAAGCCTTTGTTTTCAAGAAAATCGAGTTTGAAAATTTATCGAATATACTTGAATTTAGTTAATTTTAGATTAGTAAAAGAAAAGAATAATTAACAGGTGGTTATTCTACGTCCGAAAATAAATAAAAAATTTAAAAAAAAATAGAATAAAATTTTTCATTAAAGCCTTTGTTTTCAAGAAAATCGAGTTTGAAAATTTATCGAATATACTTGAATTTAGTTAATTTTAGATTAGTAAAAGAAAAGAATAATTAACAGGTGGTTATTCTACGTCCGAAAATAAATAAAAAATTTAAAAAAAAATAGAATAAAATTTTTCTGTAAGATGCTCCGTTTTCGAGAAAATCGAGTTTGAAAATTTATCAAGTACACGTGTAGTTAAAGTAATTTTTAACGAAATATATTTATTTTCTTGAAAACGACGCTTTAAATGAAAAAAATGTTATTTCATATTTTTTACTTATTTTTGAGGGTAGAATATCTTTATATCGGTCATTCGCATTTGTCCAACATGCAATTAGTTAGATTCATATAATTGATTAATTTTTAAATTTAATTTTCTCGAAAACGAAAATTTTAATAAAAAAATTTTATTCTTTCTTTTCGACATATTTTTACATGTAAAAATCACCTCCCAGTTGGTTGACTATAAGATGTGGGATACTATATATATCCATCATCGAAGATTGTACATAGTAGCAATATAAAAATAATAATGTGAAAATTTAATGTCACAATATCACAATATTAAAAACAATATTGTATTGATACTGTTTATACTTTCTTATCTTGTTTCTAAAAAATTGGATTGTTGCGTAGCTGCTTAGAACACATCGCACTCGATTTGAAATACAATGTTAATTTTATGATATATATTGTAAAAAAATATTCTTAAAATATTGTTTTTCAGAAAGGTGTAAAAAACAATTTTCTAAAATGTTTTCCTCCTTAAGTTTATGTTTTAAATTATGTTAAATATCATGCTTCAAATATAGTGTATTTTTAGAAAGTCATTAAAAAAATATCTATTTTGTGCAATATATTGTATACTATAAAAATATATAATTTTTTATAAAAAAATAAATAATGAAATATGTTTTAAAGGTTCATCCGAGCAGTGAAGAAAGTGAAGAATCTCAAAAAGAAGATGATGAAGAAGCAATGCATTCTACCAATTTTATGCCTTATGAATATAATTCAAAAAGAAAAGAATTGCACCGATTATCTTTGAAATTGAAAGGAGAAAAAGATCAGGTAGAAAAATTAAATAATCTTACATCTAGTCAATTGGAGGCTATAATCGGTGGTAGTATCTGAATGAACCATAATGTGCATAGTTTTAAATCTTCACAATTCATAAATTATACAATAAGAAATGCGATATAAATGTGAACGCCAATGTTAGTAGTATTTGTAATTATATACATTGTTTATATAACACCCATTCCATGTTAAAGGGATCAGTTGAATAACAGATTAATTTAATAAATTCCAATTCTGCTATCAAAAAAATGAATTTTATTCTGAATATGATAATACTGTCCGACAAATTTTAACTTCTTTTCATTTTTCTAATATTATTATATAAGTAATAATTTCTGATAAATTTTTGTATACTGATTAGTAATTTGAAATCCGTTTTTCTCCATTACTTTCAGTTTTCGAGAAATTAAATTTTGAAAAAAAAAAAAAAAAAATCAGTTTTCAAATTTGTATCTGTTTTGAATCGTAAATATATCCAATTCCTGTTTGTGGGAAATCTACAGACTCTTTCGACTACAACGATGTAATATTTGTTACATTAATATATTTAAACAATCATTAAAATAATTGGAACCTCGATTTTGCTTTTTCCCGATAATTTTTTAATTTATTTAAAAATTAATTTAGAAAAAAACAAAACAAGTTCAAACTTCAAATTTTTCAAGTTTCAATATTAAATTTTTCGAAAACTAAGGCGATAGAGAAAAATGGATTTCATATTTGTAATCAACGCGCAAAAATCTCTCAGAAATAATTATTCATTATTAAAATAATTTTCTCATGTCGGACAGTGTAATTTTTCTATATATGTAAATTGTTAATAAATTGCATTTATGAACTTTATAAGCTTGAATATACGCACATATATTCAGTTAATTAAATTAGCATAGAATATTTTTCTTAATTTACAAATAAAAATAGAATTAAAATATATATGGGTATGCACATGATATTTTTTTCATTCAGTTTTGATATTGACAATTAGAATTATATCTATTCAATATTTCGAATTATACATTTGGACGTAAAATTTCAGAAATTTCATAATGTCAATTTTGTAAAATAGATTAATTAAAAACTTTCTTTTTATTTCTTTTAGATTGTAATTTAAAATTTTTATTCATTACGTCATCATAAATATATATACCAATATATTTATTAAATTGTATCAACATCATATTGTTTTGTGAATTTTTTCAAGTTTGTATTACGCTATGTGTTACTTTCAAAGGTATTTACTAAGATATACATAAATGAAATCATAAGATATACATAAAGGAAATCTTTATTACATATTGTGAAATACATATATTTTTACATTCTTAATTGATTTCTTTAAAATATTTAAATTATCTTATCGAATTGAAATTGATATACAGGGTGTTTCGTTGAGCACTGTGAAATATCTCGAAATGCGTTGAAGCTATGAAAAAAATATTTATACAAAATCTGTTCAGTATAAAAAGGTGTCTTGCGTAGTATTAACAATTTTTTTTTTATATAATGGTGGAGGATATTTCAAGATCAACTTGATTTTTTTAAATCAGTCCATACATTTTCTTATTCGTATTACAACAGCTGGTTTCAATACGAATCCAATAACTACCTAAAATGTTGTACCATTTCTTTCAGTTAGTCCTAAATTAAGGATGATGAAATGAGCGTATTACGTATCATACATCAGGTCGCGTCGCGTTTGCATAGGACGACAGCATCGAATGTTATATTTTGTCCGGCACATAATGTTCACAGATGAGTGCATGTTTTATACCAATAGCATGATTTGTCATCAGAATTATCGAATGTGGGCGAAAAATAATCCGCACTGGGTTCAAGAAAGTAACAACCAATACCGAAATGTTGTGATGGCCTGATGCGGAATTCATAATAGAAGAGTGATTGGATCTTATTTTTTTGAGGAGACTGTTAATGCAGTAACCTATTTGAGGTTTCTGGAAATACATTTATCCATTATTTTGAACAATATGCAAGAAATACTGAGGCAGAAGTTAGTCTTTCAACATGACGGAGTTCGAAATTGGTTGAACAATACGTTAAATAACAAATGGATGGGACGGGTGGACCAGTTCAATGGTTCTCAAGATTGCCTGCATCTTACATCATACTTTTTTCTATGGGGGTATTTGAAAGAGCAAGTCTTTCAAACTCCAATTGACAATACGCCGAAGAATCACAGCCGCATGTGAGGCAATATCTGAGACCTCGGTAGAAATTGAAAATAATTTTTTAAAGCGACTTCAGAAGTGTATTATGAATGATGGCGGTCATGTTGAACGATAAGATAAGACAAGAATTTTAAATTCAGGTTAATGGAAGCTTAATAATGGGTAATGAAAATAAAAATCGATCAATAATGGCATAACGAAAAGACTTAAATTTTTAATATTTGTTTTAACAATAACAATGTGTTATCAATCCATTCATCGAAACTGAAATTGAGCCTCAGAACAACTATCTAGAATGAAATCAGAATAGCGCGTCAACCAAGATGTAGGCAACCTACTTGTAATATCGTTCGTCTCCGACTTTTGCGAAGTTCATCGTTCCTAATTTAGGACTAACTGGAAGAAATGGTATAACATTTTAGGTAGGTCATTCGTATTGAAACCAGCTGTTGTAATACGAATAAGAAAATGTATGGCCTGATTTAAAAAAATTAAGTTGATCTTAAATATCCTCCACCATTATATGACTGAAAAAATTATTACTACTAATAGACACAAAATACGTTGATTTTTTGAGCACGCGTTTACACGAAATATTAGAGGAAGTTCCAGTCGATATTAGACTTCGTATGCAGTTTATGCATGATGGAGCTCCGCCGCATTTTAGCCAAGTGACTAGGCAATTTTTAAATCAACACTTTGCAAATAAATGAATTGGTCGTCAAAGTCCTGTTGCATGGCCTGCTCGTTCTCCGGATTTGAACCCATTAAATTTTCATTTATGGGGACATTTAAAATCTATTCGCAACCTCTATACGCAACATCGCACATTTAAAATCTATTCTTATCTCTATACGCAACATCGATTGAACATGCTGAAATACTACGAAATAGAATAGAGCAAGGCTTCCGACAAATTCGAGAAACACCAGGAATGATAGAGAGAGTAATCAGATCAATGACAAGACGCGTGTAAGCTTGTCTTCAAATACAAGGTGGTCATCTCGAGCATCTTTTGTAAAAGTAATTAAAACAGAAAATTCATTATATCTCATAAACGAAAACAGATAGGACATATATTTATATGACTTTTTTTCATTATTTTTAGGCGTACAATCAGCTCCCGTGGGTCCTATAAGTTACGAAACACCCTGTATGTGTCAAAACAACTTTAAAGCTTTTTAAAGCCAAAACCCAAAGTTTCGTATTGAGGCTGTTCCTGACAACATTTCTGCTTGTTTTTTCCTTTAGTTAATATTTCTAAAGTTTTTTCTTTGAGTGTAATATATATAGTACATTAAATAAGCGTCATATTAGAAATTTTAAAAATATAAATTTTTTGTTTTACGAATCAAATTTACAAATTTCGAACGTATATTTAACATTAATTTTATTTAATTTTATTAATAGTAAAATAAATCTTACTAAATAGTAAAATGATAAATAATGATGACCTACATAAAACAAAAGAAACAAAAAAAAATGCTCTTTCTGTGAGGAATAATATCCATGACACTTTTTCTTTCATTGTCGTGAATAAAATTTATAGATTATAGTTCACAATGTTTAAAATGTTTGTATTACTATTAATAGTACAACAAATAACATTTATTATTTTGTATTTATTTTATACACATGAAATGATCTTATAGAAAATAATCTGATTAATATTTTTATACGTCCTTAAAATGAAAAATTATATTTACATATTCATTATATAGCTTTCAACTTACAGGATTTTTTTTAAACATGTTAAAAATAAATTCGATTTTATTTGCAAAAAAAATATTATTATCATATTTACTGATATGACGGAGTAACATGATATTTCAATAATGAATTAGCATTTAAATATACTTTCATTGAATTGTTACATAATTTATAGTGATTAATATCAAATATTGTAATTCAAAAGCTATTAAGCTTGTGATTCTTTACCATAATCTTGATAAAGTTTCGGACTATCTTGTATTGAAGAAACGCTAGTGCTTCTTAAGCTTAATATACTGGAGTCAGAATTTGAACTGGTCGATATAGTTTCTTCTAATGAGGTTTGTTTTTTTCGCAATACGGGCGCAATAAAAGTCTGACCAACTGATAGATCTCTTTTTTGCATTTGTGCCTATAAAAATTATTTTTAATTACTTTTGGATATAGTAAAATCGATTGTGCTCAAAATTTCAAAAAAACGCAAATGTACTTTAAATTTTGATGTGAACAAAGTAGCACCAGTAACAAGACCTAAGATACTCGCAGCAAGACCACTAAGTTGTACCGCAGCTAAAGGTGATAATCCTCTCCTTACTAAACCTAGAGCTAATAGTGCAGCTTGTGCCAAAATTGGTGCAGCTCCGGTAGCACTTGCTGCTGCACCTGCTAATTGACCACCTCCAATGCTTGGTCCATAAGCAAAACATAAATTATGTCTGTCCACCTATAAATATTTGTCATAAATATATTATACTTTTATAATATTTGAATATCGTACCAAATGTTTCACTACGAGATATAATAGCCCAAAAGGAGTAATTAACGGACAGGCCAAACTGTACACTGTCGTCATGGTAAAGACTAAGAGTAACCAGGCATAATGAGCACCTAGAGGAAATTCCCATAATACTGCCTTTCTAACATATACTTTTTCCGCCTTGCTCCGTGCTACACACAATCTGAAGGTATATAAAGCTAGTTCCGGAAATCTAACTAATTCTAATCCACTTCCAAATAAAGCTGCAGTAATTACGTAATTTACGAATAAAGCACCCTAAAAACATGAAAATTTTACATTTTTGCATATAAGTTATATTTGTCGTAATTGTAAAATAAATCATATCGTATTAATTTCAATATATTAGTACCTGATCAGGTAAGAACACGCAATCCCATCTTCCCGTGTCATTTGCTGCGTTTACTGTCCACTCTAAAAACGCTTGTGCACTAGTTAGACCTAAGCTAGGTAATATAAGAACCATTAATAATAAAAGAAGTAATGTTTTTGTCATTACTGCCCGATTTAGGCTGCTTCTGGTCCAATGTCTAACTAAAGATTCACTCCTTGCTACTAATACTGGCATTAAAGCAGCCACACTAAGTAACAATACAGTTGCAAGAAAAGATGAAACTATTGGACTAAGATTCTTAATCTCCCCTGTGATTGGTAATTTATTTAAAGCAGATACTATTACCTGTAATCAGACATTACAAAAATGTAACAAATTTGTTAATAAAGTCAAAGTAAATTTCAACATATATATTTCATCGTCATTATTTTAATTACAAATAACTTACAGCCGGTGTAGTTAGAAAAAATAGTACAATGCCCAGTGCAAAATTTATTAAAACAGCGTTCAGATACCAACATGGTCTTGGTATACTTAAATTTTCCCAAAAGATATCAGAAGGTGTAGGTGCATAATCCACAACCCATTTTATACTAGGCAAAGAAGACAAATACTTCCGCACCATCTTAGCTGCACTAGGTGTACCTAACATTATCATTATTGTCATGATTATTATTATTGCTAATATTTACATTTATTAGTTCATAATATGGTTATAATTATTTATAAATAAAATTTAAAACAAAATTTAGTAAAAGTATATTAATAGATATAGGGAGTTATAATAAAATAGTTATAGCAAAACCAACCTAAAGTTACAAAAGCTACTCCAAGAGGTTTACTTAGTATCATTGTTTTCTCTTCTTCAATTAATGCAGTCAATCGCATTTCTTCATTTGTATAAAATTCTTGAGCATCAACTTGCTACAAAAAATTAATATATTTTGTACTGTAACTATTATAATAATTTTTTAAAAGTATTACATACATTTTTACAACAGCAACCTATCACTTGACCACAAGGATATGGATACATTTGCAATGGTTCTCTTTTTGAGTAATTTTCGCAATATAAACGCGCCTGTTCAGCACAATCTTTTTCTTCATTTAATGCCAAAAGCCGTCTGATATCATAAGCCAATGTAATATCTTCTACTGTTAATGTGGGAAATATTTGTCTACACGAAACCATGCCATGAGAAAATTAAAATAAATTAAATAGCATGTATGTGTATAAAAACAAATTTACATACTTGAAATAATCAGTAAGACTTTGTACATCGCATTGTTGTTTTGGTATTTCTGTAATTAACAATGTCCTAGCTGCCAATTCACCTCCATGCTTAGATTCTCGTACCTATAATATGCATCTTTTATTGTTTCACCTTTTTTATAATATACGAAAAAATTCATTGTATTTTTTATTATTATTATTTCAATCAAATATCAAGTTAATTATAGATCTAACTTATTTTTCCATAGTTAGTAGCCTATATACCTTTTTTAAAAAATGTCTCATGATGTATGCACCAATTGGTAAGTAGGATAAAATTAAAATTGTATGCACCCAAACCCACATAGACATTGGGTCTAAATTTGATAATGTTGTATGACCAAATGTTGCATTATCACCTTGCATATTACCATGAAAGTTAATTGGTAAAGCAATGCATAATGATACAATGACCATTAAACATGTTAAAATGATCAAATGACGTTCAAATGATATATATAATAGGCCATCTGGACCTGCACGTTTTAATAGCTCATCATCTCTAAAATTAAAATAATAAAACATTATTTGTTAAAATATTAATGTTACAGTCAATATTAAACTTAATTATTATATATTTATTAAACAAATTATATTTTATGTTACTTACGTAACTCTGAATGCAGTAACAATCCATAATAAAAAACCTCTATCAACTTGTGAAAGTTGGGAATTAACAGAAGTTTCTACACACAGTGCATTTGTATCTTTATTTTCATTATTTCCATAAAATAATTCCATCCATCGTTCATCTGTTTTATTCAATAATGCAAGACGTCCATAGTTCCATGCTTTTTTACGTAATAAACCAAACAAGACAACAAGGAACTACCAAAGTATTAAACAAAATTATTAAATAAATACAATACAAATATTATTTATTAAATATATTATTTATTATTTAAAATCTAAATTTTAATTTTTAACAATATACTTCTTTGAATATAATTTTTACCAAAAATCCAAGAAAATTCAGCAATAAATTTTCTGGAATTCCTGCATAAATATCAGTTATTATTGTCATATTATGTCTTGGGATTGGAATACATCTTTCTGTGGATGGAGTTTCACGCGAATTTGATCTACAATTTAAATAATAATAACTGTTTATATAAAATTTATTTGTCTGATGATATAAAAATTTTTATTCAATCAGATACGTGACAAATACATTTTCTATTATGAAATTTTTACGTGGAATACATAAATACATGGAATGCAAAAATAATTTATTGTATCATTTAATAAACAAAGAAATAAAGTAATTAAAACCAATTTTAACTAATTAAAATTCTCATTACAGTGTGTTTGTATGTATGTATGTTGTTTATACATTATTTTTGTTGATATTGAATCCATAACAATGATACTGAACGAAAAAAATTTTTAACGAATAAGTGAAATTATAAACTTATGCAATAACAAAGAAACAATAATGAAATTCAAATGTGTGATTATATTTTATTACTTACTGAAAATGTACGTAATCCATATTTATTGATATATATACACATGTATATTTATAAGATTAAATAAATACAAAGATTCGATATGTGTCAGTTTGACACATTGTACTAATTCCGTTATGAATAGCAGAAAGTGTAAGTACACACTATAACCTAATCTGAGTAAACTGAGTTATCTATCAAATTTTTTTGTTCAGATTGACTTATGTTAATTATTAGAAATGTTATACTATTTCTTTTTATTACAATATTGTTTAAATTGTAACAAATCATTTAAAAAAGATATGTTTCTAAACAAAATCTAAATTTTTAAATTGTCTTCCTTTCCTCTTTTTAATATTTTTATAAATTACATATCTCATGTGCCTTTGTTTTAAAAATTCATTTTTAATCAACCCAGGAAATTCAAATACTTTTTTAATTTGAATATTAAAATTTGTAAAACTAAAATATATATCATAATGGTTAAAAATAATAATTACACATATAAAAATGTAAATTATTTTATTTGACATACAATTTATATATGGTAAATATATAAATAAATATTTAATAATATATATTACATATTCATATATATATTATATGAATATGTATATATATACACGTATATACACAATACACGTATGCATGCACTGTATAGTGTATGTATAAAGTGCATTTTTTAAAAATAATAATTGTTCATTTAAGCAATTATAATTATAATTTGTTTTTAATATCAAGTTTTATTTTTAAAATATTATATAGATCAATACTTATTATCGTTTATATTGATCATGCGGCTGCAATTCACCTGATGTGATACAGTCAAAGATCCATGTTTCTTTTAAACCTCCTGTACCAATCAAAATTCTTGCTGTTTCTGGATGTTCAGTAACACAACCTCCAGCAGCTTTTATTAGATCTTGTAATATATTATAAGGAGGTGTTGTATTTTTTTGAACATATATATATCCACAAGCTGTAAACAATTCTGGAACATAAGATTTCCCAAATAATTGCCTGTCTTTGCGATTTTCCTAAAAATTAATATAAACATATATGATACTTTTTATATATTTTTATGTATACTGTATATAACGTATATTTATAATTGTATATTTTATTTACCAAAACTGCTTTTGAAAAATGTACTATTTCATATTTCTCTGGATTTAACCAAGTATTGTTCTCTAAAGATTTTAAAACCCATTCAAGAGTAACTAACCAACAACCTCGTATAATACCATGTAACAGATTTATTGTATGTATACCTGTAGTCACGACATGAGTTGTATTTTTTGTAACATTTGATTCAATCTTTGCTAAACCAAGAATTTTTACAATACTTTTAACTCTATCCTTATCTCTAAAAAAAAAAGATACAAGGATGAATCTTATCTTTTGATAAAACAAGATAATTGTAATAAAATACTTAATTAAAAATGTGATTTGTAATCTTACAATGAATATTTTTACCTACTCATTGGATAAACCAGTTGCAACAATATTTAATCTGTTTTCTCTTGTTTTTTTTTTCATTACATGTACAATAGATGAATTTTTCAATAGTTGAAAATCATCTGATGAATTTCTTTCTTCTGTATAAACATTTCTTGTTTCCTCTCTCTTATAATTTTCCTTATTTTCTTCTAATCTCCGTAAAATATCATCATTAATGATTTTTTTAACAATAATTTTTTTACTAATTATTTTTTTTTTCTGTGTTTTTCTGTTGTGATCTCTATTATTATTTTTATTAATACTCTCTATGTTATTTATATTATTAGGTTTATTATTTTTCCTCTTGTGACTTTTTTTAAATATTAAATATGCAGGAGATATACATTTTTCATCTTGTACAGGAGAAATTGATACTAATTGTGAACATTCATGTAGTGGTAACAATTTCCTTTTGGATTTTTTTTCTTTAGGAAATTTTATGGAATGTTTTGTATTTTGATCCATTCCTACATTGCATTTGTCACTTGATTCTTTGATAATTGTACACATTTCTGAGTTACTATATAGATCTATTATATTATTTACAATGTCATTATGTTCACTATCACACATCTTTTTTTGAATTACAGTATTTTGATGCTGTATTTCATAATTGTTGGTTTTGTAATTATCATCAATAATGTTGTCATTATCAAAATTATCATTCCTTGTATTCATAGAATTTATATCTTTTATTGGAAAAGCATCAATTGTATTGTTATCGTTTTGTAATTTATTTGAAATATCTAATGACGTGTTCATTTGTAATGAAGTACAAGAATATTCTTGTGTTGTCTGAAAACTTACTGCCAAGATATCTTTTTGTTTAGTTTTAGAATTTTCATGTTTTTTCCCATTGTAATTCTTCCATCTATTTTTATTTTTATGATTGTTACTGTCATTTACATAATCAATAGATGTGTTAACATTTAACGACGTTTGTATTATATTTATATCATCCATTTCACATAAATCATTCTCTATCCTAAAATTGTTGTACATGTATGACATTTATTTATTTGAATCAAAAGATAATGCTTTCTAAATTTATATTTCTCATTTGCCTTTCTTTTTTTCTAATGGAATAAAGAACTGTATTTATGTCACAATCAACATTTATTTGTTCAAGTGAATAATTACCAAAATCTGCTAAGTTTGATGTAGAACTAGAATTTTTATCATGCACCTGTTAATTATAATAATGGTACCTTCAATTACAAAAAATAGAATATTTATTATTAATATCAAAATTGTTGTAGTTGTTGTTAGAATGAATATCTTTGAACCACATTTAATATTATTAATGCATATCTAATTGAGCAATCTACATTGATACATCTGAAGTTGCCTGATACACTTATACATAGGAGCGAAGTCGAAGATATGTATATATTAAAATTAACAATGCAACATTAATACAAGTAATTTACATTGCTTGAACAAATAAGAAAAATAAAACTTCTAACATTTTTAACGATATCAAATGATCGATTTAACAGTCGTGAAATATGATGTAAGACTAAGAGGAATGTGCTGCACTTCAAGAGAGTTCTCAATTTTACTAATCGATGTTTGAATACATAGGCATGTAGTGAATGACAGACTTGGATGAACTTGTAGGTCGGTATCTATAAGAGTTTTAAACAACAAAACATTGATTAGAATTGATGCCAACAATATGGAAACTACTGATCAAGATACTCGTGATGATTATTACTTAGAACTGTCTTCCGATCCAATTAGATTTGAATCGGTTAGCTGTCAGACGAATGTCTTTTTTGACGACTCAAAGCAACAGGTTAGAATGAATGTCTGTTCGTTTACATGATAATATTTAAAATTAAATGTTTAAATGTAATGTTTAACTGTTTAATTGGGGAATAAAATTCATTCTGTGTAGGTGTTTGCTGTTCGATCAGGAGGTATCACGGGTGTATTAGTTAAAGGACCAAATCAAAATCTAAGTTTCCGAATGGAAGATAAAGGTCCAGTGATCTCTATTAAATTCTCTCCTAATATGAATATATTAGCGGTGCAACATAATAATTCTTCGGTCGAATTTATAAATTATTCATCAATTACTGGATTAGATAACATTGAATATTCACAGTCGTGTAAAGGAAAGAATGCTACCATATTGGGATTTGTTTGGACGCATGGAAATGAAATACTGTTTGTTACGGATTATGGTGTTGAGTTGTTTCAGGTAAAAAAAAAAAAAAAAAGAGATTTTAATGAATGCTTTGTGTATTTATGACAATTAATAACACAAACATACAATATTTAAAGACATCTAATTATTTTAGGTTAATTCAGAGAAACACAATGTCAGACTTTTGAAATGTTTAAGTTTAGGTGTCAATTGGTTTGTATTCTGCCCACAGAGTTATTTAGTATTATTATCATCAGGCACTATAGGAAATCAAATGCAAACATTACATATAACACCTGGAAATCTTCATAAATTAACTAAATTTGAGGGTAAAGGAAATATTATAAGAAATATTATTATGTTGGAATTGCATTAAAATTGTTTTAGTGGAAGTTGGTGCAGCCAAACCAGGGAAATTGGCTGTCTATGAGAGAGATATAGCATTGACAGTTCTATATGGGACACCTTGTATTATTTTGCTACGTCATCAACCAGGTACTAATCGTTCTACTGGGGCTGCTTCTGTACATGTATATACTGTGCACAAGTATGTTTTTTTTTTATAATTATTAATTAATTTAAAGTCAATTTCATATTTGTTGCTTGATATCTTATACACTTTTTCTTTTTCTCAAATAGAATGACAACAATCAAAAGAAGTCATGTTTTAAAACTTGATGTCAGTGGTAAATTTGCTATTAATGTTGTAGATAATCTTATTATTGTTCATCATCAAACCACAAAAGTAAGTAAATCAATGCATACTGAAATATATAAAATGTAATAAATGTACATACTTTTTCAGACTTCTATGATTTTTGATATCATGTTACCTGGTGTAAGCGATGGTACTGTAATGCATCATACCAGCGTGGCACCAGTGAAGTCAATCAAACCATATAGTTTAAAAGTTCCAGGAACAACTTTGTCAAATGAAATGTATCAGCCTTGTCAACTGTGTATCCTTAATGAAAATGAAATACAGACATCAAGATATAAAATAATATCTCTATTATTTTTATATGTCATATATTTCCTTAATGCATTTTATTGACAGATTCGCCAAATTGGGTTGTTTTTCAACCAAACATAATAATTGATGCAAAATTAGGTTGCCTCTGGTTGGTAATGACTTTTGTTGTATCATATTTTTCTCTATAATATGTACAATAAAATTAAATATAGAAATACTTTTATAATATTTTTAATAATTGTGTCTTCATATACATAGGTATATTGAATTAAAATTGGAATCTTTGGTGAAACTTATCACAGACAAAGTATTACTAGTCGAATTTTTAATGCAACGAACAAATACAAAGTATATTTTGATACACATATTACAAAATTTTATGATGCAATTGCCTATTAGTTTAATGGATATGCCAATTATATTCAATAAGTTGAATTCCGTTTATAGAAATTACCTTGAAAATAAAATACAAAATCAGGTAAGTATATAATTTTGTTTTTTTTTTACCGTTTATTAAATTACTATTAATCAATTCACTTACAATTTGTTGATATTATGTCCATTTAGATGGGTACTCCATTGCAAAGTAATACGAAAAGCCCAAACACAGTAATAGAAAATTACAAATATAAATTGGTGCTTGATCAAAGTGATGTATACAGTTATATATTATCAAAATTTCCTGAAAATACTATTGAACCAAAAATGATTGTATGGGTTCTTTTAGAATATATCAGGTATTTTTTTCTCCGTCTACAATAAAAGTAAAAGAGAAAGCTTATACACTTTGTTATCGCGCAGCGAATATAATTAAATATAATTAAATTTTTTTATGTCGTTTTCATGTCGTTTTTATGTCGTTCATTTTAGATCATTAACAGAACATAGTATACCTGTGGAACATTATTTACACGAATTAGTTATTACGACATTAGTCCAACGTAAAGCATACTACCAACTTCACCAATTGCTACAATACCATGTAGTTGCCGATTCAAAACCCTTGGCTTGTCTATTGCTCTCTTTAGAAAATCTATATCCAGCTGCACATCAACTTGCACTGGATATGCTGAAACGTTTAGGAAATGCTCATGAAGAAATAATTGAAGTTCTTTTATCGAAAGGATACATTTTACCAGCGTTACGGTAAAACATTCTTCTTATGCACAGTAATAACGTAACTTGATTACTTTGAAATATCTTTGTTATTTTTGGAAATATGAAAAAATTTTATTAACGAAATTATATTTTATTAATAGTTTAAAAAATGGAGGTAATTTTGAAATGAGCTTGAATCTTTCTATTTACAAAGAAGTTATTGCCGTGACTCTCTGCAATATGGAGATATTCAAGGTGATCAAATTACCTTGTATAATATATATACATGGTGTTTCGTCTAACCGAGTACAGTGAAATATCTTGGAATATGTTGAAGCTATGAAAAAAATGTTTATACAAAAGCTGTTCAGTATATTATTTGCGTTATTTTATGTATTGTATATATAAACATACAATATATAAAATAACGCAAATAATATATGTGACAAATATATCAATTATTTCAAGATTGATTCATTTCGTTACTTTTTTACCAATTTGTAATTTTAGTTATATTCGATCAGTTGGGATGGTGGATCAAATATCTGACAGAAAATTTCTGGAAGCAGCAAAAGCAACTGAGGATGCAACGCTTTTTTATTCGGTTTTCAAATTTTTTAAACAGCGTAATTTGTATTTATATAATGCTACAAGCTTTACAAAAGGGGAACGCTATCAGCCTTACATTCAACATTACAAGTATTTATTCGAAGGAACTGATAATACTTGTAATTCAGACACAAATTCCAATGTTACTACAATTTCATCGTAAATTCTTCTTCCTTTCTCTTTTTTAATTTAAATTTATTGTAACATGAAATAACATCGAATATATGTATTTAAAAATTACAATATCTTACAATTAGAATATTGTTTAACTGTTTCCATATTTATTCATTTTGTATATTTTTGTTTGTAAAATAGTTTGTATTATAAATACATATATACACCCACTCACATGTAATTACATTTATATATATGATACTTATAACATTTTGTGCAATTAATACAGTCTGTTTAAAAATTGTATATTTAGTATTTATATTTCATATTTTTTGCAAATGCGTTTACAATAGTGTGCGTTTACAATAGTAAATAGACTGCGGAATTTTATGCATTTATGGGAAATTTGAAAGTATAAAAATGCTTACAATAAATAAAATGTACAAAAAAGAAATATTCAAAATGTAGTATTTTCTATAGCATTTTATAGTATAATTTTTACAAAATAATTTTGAACCAAAGTTCAAGTATTTAAATTATACTCCTTAAAATATAAACTGCATAAAAATTCGCAGTCTAGCGTAAAATTATTTATTTTTTAATCCGTATCGTTACAATATTTTTGTTTGAAAAACATATGTACAGTATATGACTCATGGATTACAATATGCATAGTTAGATGTATATATGTTTCAGTTTAAAATTTAACATTTAATAGAAAAAATATTTTTGGCAAGTATTTACAAAAAAGAATTACTCTTCGATTTCGATAATTTGAATGATGTACAAACTTAGAGGATGTATAAAGTTGTTTATTAAAAAGTTTACTCAAAAATATAAAACATTGTTCAGAAAATTTGATCCAGTCACGATCATCGGCATTCAAAACGTTGAACAATTATGAAGAGATATTTGTGCAAATATTCTTACATATAGTTATAGAAAGTATCATTTTAATCACAATTTGCTAGAATTTATATTTAAAAGATTATATTAAAAAGATATTTGATGAATGAATATATACTGGGTTGTCTGGAAAATTCATGCCGAGTTATTAGATGGTATTGGAACATGTAAAATAAATATGTTAAAATTATTGAGAATATATGATTGTAATACGATATGTAATACGAATAATACGTAGCTACATTCAGCCTAACAAATTCATGCATGATATAAATAAATGACTAATGTCTAATAAACATCAGCCAATAATTAGGCTTGTTCTCTCACGCTTTAGCACATTTAAATGTGTTATAATCATTTTAAAATAACGATTGTCAAATACATAACTGAAGATGTAAATGAATAAACGAACCAAAACTGTACAGTGTTTTAAGAAAATTATCTTGATACCGGATACATGTACATTATAGAAATTTTTTAAGTATTGTATTATGAAATGGAAGTGCGAAAGAGGAAGGGGGCAGTGAGAGCCCGAAAAAATTTATCTATCTCAAACTCAATTTTAATTTGATTAGAATTCATTCAAAAATGAATTCAATTAGATTCTTCTAGCTGAATCTTTACCCAGTCTATGTTTTCACTTTGTATTATATATAAATACTTCTTTACAAATATATGTAATATAAAAATGCAAACTAATCGAGTAAATTTATTTTTGATAAATAATGTTCGCCAACTAAAACTTTCACAACACTATTCAAAATGATGTTTTTGATAATATGTTAAAAAAAACTGATCGAAATTGGAGGGTGGTTTCTTTTTGTAAATACTTATCATATTTTCTTCTTCAACATTTGTCGACATTGCTCAAGTATTTTCTACGTACAATTTTCTCATGCTTAATCAAAGCAGTACCACTTATACAAATCGATTTGATGTGAATATTGAAAGTTTTATTTTATATCTCATATGTTACAATTTCATGTTTTTTTTTATATACTGACATCGGATTGTTTCTATCGTGTATACGCATTTTTAAGTTTAATCTTTCAGGGTTAATTTCATCTGTGCACAGTATTTACTCCTGTGCAGCAAGAACTCCAAATATTTCAATAATATTGAATTTGATAAATTAATATAACCATTTATTGCTTCTATTTCAAGCTATAAAAATCATTACTAAAGCTTAATTATTAGGGATGGGTTACTCAAAATGTCAAAATCTCGAAACCTCTCAAAACCCAAGAAAATTTCGATTTTCGTTAATTTGACTTTATACCTTTTTCATGATTCAGAAAAAAGTATAAAATCAATGAATAAAAGATTATTTGCAATGTAAATAAAAAACGTCTGATTCATGTGTATTTCGGAATGTTTGATGCGAGATTTTTGTTTTTCACATATTGACACAAATGCCGGCTATCGTCATTGTGCATGTTTTTGCTAAAATATGTAACAAACTCATTACATGTATGTACATATATTTTCGACAAAATGGTTTCATTTAATGTTGAATAAAATTTTGAATTTTCGTATTAATTTAGAAATGTATTTTCGTAAGATGATGACCGTCCAAAAATACTCTGTGAAAATAAAATATGCGTCAATGGGTTAAAGATACATATGCAAATCGATTGTAATTCTGCAATGTGATAATACGGAATAAAATATTCAAATCTAAAGAAATTGTAAAAAAAAAAAAAGGAATTACACCAATTGCATCAAAATATACCATTGTTTATTATATGAGTATAGCTCTGAAAAACTTTTCAGGATATTCAGTATATATAGCCGACGAAAAACAAGTAAATTAGAAAGATTGTGAACATTAGAGTTCTTAAACAAACAATATCTGGATCAGATTTTGTATTTTGCTTAATTATGGCTGATTTGAAAAATTTATATAAAAATTTTAACTCTAGCTTTTAAAAGAAGCAGTTCTTCTTGCAAAATAAAATCAACACTTCGAGTTTCAAAAGTTTTGCATTCTGATATCTTGCAAAGTTTCGGATTCGAGTTTTGAGAGTTAAGAAATTAGTTTTGAACCCACTCCTATTAATTATCAGTTATCAGTTATTATTACTGATATAATTTAAACCTTGAAAGAGATCAGAAAGTCTAAATCATCAACATCGTTCTTAAAGGATTAACAAGCTAACATACATATATACGTATGTATACTATTCAATAGTAGTCATACATAATATCGCGTACATATATACGTATGAACACGCATATAAACACAGAATGATATAGTATTCATTATTTATAATTTCAGATGAACAATTGTTAGATATTTTAAGATCAAATATTAATGTAAAAACGGACGGATTGGGTCAAAGTAGATACAAAATATAAATAAATAGAAAGTAAAATTCTCCAGCAGAGGAAAGGTGGAGTAGAGGAAAAATGGTTTTGATTGGTCCATTTCACACTTTTTAAGAAAGCTTGAAAAAAGAACATTAAATATTTTTGAAATACGTTACTAAAACTAGATTTGGTCCTTTATTTATCATTAACATATATATCTAATTTCGGTCAAATCTTTTATCGATATTAGTATACTTTTTGTTGCTGGGTTATGAAGTGTTGTTGTCGCATGTATTATAAGATTATAATGCTTTTATGTATTTTATTAGATTCGTGTTATTTTCAATCTGGGAACAAAAATGATCGAACATATGCGCAAAGGTGGAAAGAAGCGGGTCGGTAAACAAGCAAAGAAACTATTTACAATTAGTTCCATCTTTTTGTCACTTACTACTACTGTGCTGCATAAATATTATTTATGTGATACTTTCGACCAATATGTGTTCTTATACTTAATTATACTAAATCTATTCGAAACAACCAATCAGACTCGCACTCCTCTCACAAGACTTCTTTCCATCTTTGCGTTACACACGACTCGCAGCACTGTGATATCGTTTCATTAGTCGTTTCATTGGATATAGAATTGAATATAGTTACACGTAAAAAATGAGTGAAAGAAAAAGGATGGGGAAGAAAGACAGAAATAGACAAGTAGATAAAAAGATAGACAGACAGACAGATAGATAGATAGATAGATAGATAGATAGAGAGAGAGAGAGAGAGAGAGAGAAGTGGAGGGAGTCTGTAAATTATGAGATATTACAGTCGTCCGTATAAGTGTCCCTAATTTGTTGTTTGGTTTTTCGCGAAGTGCGTCGAATTAAGCTACGACTGCGCGGTTTACTCTTCGTTTCCTCATTGACACTGACGATATTTGAACTTTGCGCTGCAACCACTTGCTGAGAATTGTCAACAGAGCCGGCACTTCCGGTTCTGCCGTGTGGGCTGCCAGACCTACCAACTCGATCGCTTCTGTAATACGCGAAATTGATCAAGTAACGATCGAGCGTTACATGTACATACATAAGTATGTATGTTGGGACAGGGTTAAGTATGTAGTGGCACACTAAAGAAGCGTTACGTGACGCATTAAGCTTAATCTTTTCACCTTCGTTCCTTAAGAAATTTTTAATTTGCTTGAGAAACGCTTCAGTGAAGTCAAGAGATGATTAATTCTCGCGACCGTTACGCTTATAATGACGAAAGAACTTACGCTCGCGCGTTGCTTCCAATCTCTTCAACTCCATACGCGTGTGTTCTATAGGTATAAATTCATACAGTGAAGAGCATAATTGTACCAATAACAATGGAAAATTTAAACGATAATTTAAACTGGTATCACTTTGTAAAAAAGAATCGTATAACGATCCATTTGATCTCATTTTAAAACATGAAGCTTCTATTTTAATAGTCGTGAGTCCGTTTTTTTTCTTTTTTCAAAGACGATTTTACATCATGTAATGGCAAACTCAGAATGCTTTTTTCTCGAATACTGTAAAAATTCAGACGTGTGTAAAAACATCGAAGAGTTTTTTTCGTAACTACATCTACTATCATTTTGAAGATTGAAGTAGTCTCTCCTTTACAACGATTTCTTAAAATTCGCTGCACGATTTCTTTTCATCATTTTATTGAACATTTGAACGTTAGATGACGAAATGTTGAGATTTCTCTTGATTTTTTGTTTATTTAACCTTGATTCACAATTCAATAAAATGATGGAGAAGAATCGTACATTCTAGTTTTAAGGGCTCATTGTAAAGAGAACATTTGAATCTTCAAGATTACAGTAGACTTAGTCATTAAAAAAATTTTTTTATGTTTTTACACGCATTTGAATTTTGACAATTTTCGAGAGAAAAATATCCTCACATATAAAATGATGTAAAATCATATTTTACAAATGAAACGAGTTCACGACTGTCAAAGTAGAGATTTCACACTTTAAAGTAAGACCAAGTGGATTTTATTGATTTTTTTTTTTTTTTTTTACAAAGTTATATCAATTAAAATTATCAGTACTTTTATCATTACATTATCATTGGTACAATTATACTCTTCACTGTACTTATGTACATAGTATGTACATAGATATGTGATGTAATGTATTATATTACTGGAAATGACTATTTTGTTTACAATTAGTCCTAAATAATGAAAATAAAGCAAAATATAACATACAAATGTTGAAAAAAAGCTGATCAACGTACTTGTAACAAATAAGGATAGGATAACAAGAATGGAAGAAAATAAAAAGAGGAGAAGGAGAGAGAAGAAGTAAGAAACGAAAAGGGGAAAAGAGAAAGAGAGAGAAAGAAGAGAAAAAAAGAAGGAATACCTGCGCGATCCATATGCCGAACATCTTCGTCGGAGGCCGGATTCGTCTGACTCGCCAACGTGATTCTTTGGAACGATCCTCGATAAAGTGACGAAACATCGGAAAATATCTTTGACGTTATAATCGTCCTTAGCCGAACATTCCATTATTTTGGCACGAAGTTTTGGCAATTCACAAAATAACCATTCACTCACATCTTCGATTGGTACTTCTCTCCGCGTCGTTGCAAGATCCAATTTATTTCCAGCAACGACTATCGGAACTTCCTGTCGAACAGTCGAATAATATTGACAACAGGCGAATACAGATATTTCATATTTTCATAAATTACAATAAGGAGCATAACGGAACACATAATGATGAAAAATTGTCAATACTTGATGAAATTGTTACAATCTCGTAAAAGAAAATCATATAAAAATCTGCTTGGTCTACATTTTAAAGCGTAAAGCTTCTACTTTGACTATTCGTTTTTTCCAAAGATATTTTTACATCGTGTAAAACAGAAGAAGAAAAGAGTACTTTTATTCGCAAAAATTTAAAAAATCCAAACATCTGCAAAAACATCAAGAAATTTGATCTACCAATTTGATGGTTTTCAAAATTGAAGTTTTCTCTTTATAAGAATCCCTTAAATTTGCTGCACGATTTCTTTTTTACAATTTTATTGAACTTTAAACATTAAGGTCAGATAACGAAATATTGGGATTTTTAAAATTTTTGTTGTTTAACTCTAATGTTCAAAGTTCAATAAAATGACGAAAAAAAAAAAAATTGTATCGCAAGTTTTAAAGAGTTATAAATGAGACATTTTTATCTTCCATGATCGATTTAGTTACAAATAAAATTTTTCAGTGTTTTTAAATATGTGAATTTTTATAATTCTTTTTAAAGAAAAAATTTTCCCATTTGCTACATGGTGTCAAAATATGTTGGAAAGAAAAAAAACGAAAAAACAGAAGCTTTACGTTATAAAACGAGATTAAATAGATTGTTGTATGATTTTTTTTTAACAAAGTTATAACAGCTTAAAGTATCAAGCCATTTTTCATTTAAATTAATTGCGATGTAAAACTGACTACACGAAACAATTTATATTTGCAAGATCATAAAATTTCTTTTGGAAAGTCAGAACATCCTACGAAACGATACATACTTTGCTTCTTTTGTATTCTACATGTGTGTGAAAAACCTTGATAAAATTAATGTTATTAATGTTGAAAATTCACATGTACGGATCAGTTTTGCTTATCGTTGTATATTCTTACTTTATTAAATTGATATTATTTTCATGATACCTGGAAATCCGGTCGTTGTTCTCTGACCTCTTCGAAGCATCGTTTGACACATTCGAAGCTTGGTAATGATGTCGTAGCGTAAACAAGAAGAAACGCATGTGCCGTAGCTATGCTCAATCTTCTCATAGCTGGAAACTGCAAATCTCCTGAAATTGTTATACTGTTCTTCATATTTTCTTAATATAACAAAACGCTACGCGGTGAAGGAAAGGAAGACATTTACCAGCGGTATCCAGAAGATCAACTTTAAGTGTGAGCGTACCGAGAACACATTCTCTCGAATAAAGGTCTTCGACGGTAGGTCTGTATCTTTCACTGAATCCTTGCCCGAGTAAACGGCGTATAATTGCGCTTTTCCCAACACCAGCACCGCCTAATATTACTAATCTGATTCTTTCGTGATCGGCCATTTTACGAACTTTCTTTAAATTGATCTTGAGACGAAAGTACGAATGCAAATGCAAATACAAGTGCGTACGTGAATGAAGTAAACAAATGCGAGTTCAGAAAGCCATTGGCAAACTTGCTACTATTCTTATTTTTGTTTCTCTTCTCCTCTTCGTCAGCCCTTTGCACCTTTTCTTATTTCTTTTCTTTTGTTTTGATAAATTTACGCAGCATATTAAATACGGTTTAAATTAATTTCACAATTCTTCCTCGTCCTAGTATCGTAAAAGTGCACCTTTTATGCAACAGTCCAATCTCAACTAAAAGCAAAATTTTCATTTTATTTAAATAACGAAATTACGTTTATTTGATTTGATTAAATTAAACGAGGGGATAAGACGATTATTGATCAGATAAAGTTTTAATAAACATAAAATGTACATTCAAATGTCATTGACAAAACGCAAAGTACCATAAAAAAAAATGTATCGTCTTTTTCATTCGAAAAAACATTTGATTTTCACGCAAGTTACGTTACGTTATTTGTTTCAAAAGAAAATGATCTATATCAATCGAAATGACAGATATAATGGATTTAATTCAATAACGGAGAATAAAAGACATTGATTCGTGTTGATGTTGGTGGAGTTGGCATCGAAGATCTTCGACTAGGCGAAGTAAAGGATTCATATTGTGTAAAATTTTCTCACAAACTAGAACACTCTATCTTACAGTTACACGTATACTCCAATGTACGTATGTATCTTATACATGTACATTCCGCGATATTGATGCATACAATTTATTTTCGACTTACAACGAGACAAAGTTGGACAGCAAACAAAAGAGACTTCTCATAAGCTGTAAGTATGTACATACATAACAGATTGGGACACGTTTTATGAACGTGATGGAATTAAACTGCATAGATATTTATGTATACTGTAACAAGAATCTGAGTTATGAAATTGAAATTTTCTTCCCATTGTAATTGAATTAAAAATTTTTCTTGTTAATAGTTTGAAAATTAGCATACTGAATATTCAGTTAATTTAATCATTGTAATTTTTTTCGTATTTCTTTTACGTTTCATCGACGCTGATCATTGTCGATATTTTTTAATGTAATGAGTTGATGTTATCTTAATGAAATCTTTTGATATAGAAAGATATTTAGATAACTTACGAAATAAAAATAACAGAATAAGAATAATTGGTAAAATAACAAACTTGATTCGTTATGTCAAAATTAATTAGCATAACGATCATTAAAATTACAAACTGTGAATAAGAGTTGTACTGTTATTTGCAATTCACAGTTACAAGATTTACGATTTGATTTGCATGTACAGTTTGATGATGTCCAATTTAGATTGTGTAAGAGACTATTGGTCTTTTTTCTTGTATATACGTATGTATTACAGTCATCAGTTATCAACATAATATTTTTATTTTGCTTAGCGAATTGCAAAATGTCAAAGTCTCACACAGTTTTGTAATTACTAAAAATAAGTATTATTTACAATCCTTATAAATTAATTTAAAAAGAAAGAATACATGCAGTGCAGTAACAATAAAGCATTTACTTAGATATGTTTCTTATATCGTATGTGTATATAGAATATTCATTTAAACTTCAAAACTTATATTTATATAAAAGTGAACATTCTCAACATACTCTTTAGGTTAGTATGACGCTATATTGATTTATGCATAAATGGCTTTATATATAATATTGATTCGAATGTACTCTTTTATACAAACTTAATGTTTGCGAGAAGAATTTTTGACGAGTAAAAAGTTAAAACCCGAAATATTTTTAATATAATTATTCGGCGACCGCAGACGCAAAGTTTAAGTCTTAAACACTGTCTCTAAAATACGATATATAATTTTTAAAGAAAATGCTATATCAGTAAGGCAGGAAGTAGTTGACATTAAAATAGTAAAAAATACAGTAAAATTGTTTACTTTTGTAAGACACAACTTTTCAATTAGTAAATATGTATTTCTGAAATTAGTAAATGTATATGTACATTCGTCGAAATCTATCAAATTATCTAAAAATCCCCTAAAACAAAGTTTAAAAATCGATTTTCTTTTGTTTTCTTTTATTAATATCTTTACTTATAATAATGAATTATAAAAGAAAATTTATTGGTTACAATCAATAGGTCAGATACTTTTTCTATACTGAGAATTTTATTTATATCCTATTTGTGATTCTAATCAATTACAATAAACAGCCACGCGACTGAAATGAGACACACACTAGCTGCCAAAGTCGATGAATGCTTCTTAGTTAATCATTGACGATAAAAGTTCTGTACGTATGATATACATATTCCTGCAGTATATACTAGAATATTGTAGTATATTAATTTTTGTAGTATATTAATTTGTTTTCCGGTAAGATTCCTTTCGAACAGAGAGATACTTATATCGCTGATATAAATATCGCGATACCGATATGAGGCGTCCGGCGACTCATGGTCAACCAACTACAAGGAGGTGGATTCTACATGTAAAAATGTGTTGAAAAGAAAAAAATGAAATTTTTTCACTAAAGCTTTTGTTTTCAAAAAAATTGAGTTTGAAAATTTATCGGCTATTTTTAAATTTGATTAATTCCATGGACAGATGCGAATAATCGACACGAGGATATTCTTCGCGCAAAAATAAATAAAAAGTATAGAATAAAATTTTTTCGTTTTAAGGAAAATAAACTTTGAATACGTTTTATTAAAAATTATCTTATGTACACGTGTGCTGTAAATTTTCAAACTCGATTTTCTCGAAGAAGGAACATCTTGTAGAAAAATTTTGTTTTTTTACTTATTTTTGCACGTAAAATAACCTCCTGTCAATTATTCTTTTTTGTTACAATTGTCTACAATTAATTAAATCCAAATATACTCAATAAATTTTATTTAATTTTTCTCGAAAACAAAGGCTTTGATGAAAAAATTTTATTCTTTTTTTTCGGTACATTTTCACATGTAGAATCACCTCCCGATCGATTGACCACGAGTCACGGCACATCTTGTGTGTGTTTGGAAATGAAGTACTTATTCTCTTTTGATCGTACATATATATCGAATTCCGAAACGGACCTCGAATTTGGAAATTACTCTTAAAAAGATAATAAGAGGACGCGACGACGCTCAAGGTGTGAGCATTTAGTGTTGTTAAACTCGAATATTTACGCAGGATTGGGAAAATAAAAATAAAAAATAAAAATTAATTTATTATTGTTGTCTGAAAAATAACACAGGAAAAGTAACTTTATCTTTTATCAAATAAATGATTTGTAAATCATTCTTTTATTTGAGTTAATTCATCCAAATAAAAACACATAACAAATAATCGCAGCACAAAGGGTAGCTTACCCAATAGAATCAGAAATTATTTGTAGAAGTAAATTTAAACTACAAAATAAAATAAAAAATTATTTTATTTAATTGCCACATGATCAATTAATTTCGAGAAAATCCATTTCTTTTTTTTTAAATAAATTCACTAAATTATTTCTAAATAACATAAAAGACCACGTAAGAGTCACAAATTAAGTATTAAATTATTTAAGTAGTTCTTCAAATATTTTATTCCAATAATGTTCGAGCCTGTCGTAAAGTATCGCCAGTGATTGGGATACATTGGTATCGCGATACTGAATCGCGCGAGAATCGTCATGTGAAAGGTTCCATAAGACTATGCGTATTTTCGATTCAGCATACGTACATCACGATACAAATATCTCTGTGTGAAAGGAGGTGTATCGACAATTCCGAATCGTTGTGTAAAAGACTCCGTAAGACTAGCTGTATCTTCGGTACATATTCATCATATGTGTATCGTAATACAAGTACTGCCATCCCTAACTTTTCTCATTGGCCAGATATTTGCTTACATTAAATGCGAGATATTGCAACACTGCCAACGCAAAACAAAACGTGAAGTATCTATCTCGTCGGTCGTCTATAATACGTTAAATTGAGAAAATCATGTGGTAAAAACTTTGAAGGGTTCAATAAATCTGTTTTGCTCAATTAACGATTTTTTACAAAAAAAAAAAAAAAATTAGGTTTTTTAAAAATTCTTTTGAACATAACAGCAAGTAAATAGTGTTCAGTATAAAGAGTGTTAGTATTTGCTCTTGGTCAGGAATATCCACTATCTCTTGTGACGCTAATAAATTAAATCAAAATATTGTAAGTATATATTTCGTTAAAAATGCATTTTGATTTGATTCTTCAATTTTAGCTAGATTGTAGAATCAGGAAAAAACACAAGTATATACATAAGTAAAAGGAGGTATGAGCTAGTATATATATGTATATATCAGCCGGCTCTCAGAGTCGGCTTTGTTGAGTTGTGGTTCCCATTGAAAATTTAAATCCGTTTTCTTTTTATTATTTCAGAACTTTTTTCATCGAATCTTGTTAAATTGACTAATAACTGATATTGAAAGTAACTAATATTACTAACATTTCTACTAATAATAGTAGAATATGTAACCATATTAATAATTAAATTAAATTTGAATTTGTGTATTTAATACTATGTAACTATGGTGTTTTATAATATATGAAAAACCGGTATGCGGCTCTCATTGACCTCATGCGTGTCAACCCCTAGTATACAAGGCGTTAAGTTTTGTCACCAGTTTTTAAGCATTTCCGGTAGTGCAATTAAAAAATGTTTCAAACAAAATTTTTTTATGTATTTGGTGGGCTACACGTTCCCATGTTCTTAAATCTCAAAAAATTTTACGTAAAAAAGTCAAGGTCACCTTGATTTTTTTAAATGGCACTATATGTTTTTGACATCGAAGGATTGTTGCTGATGTCGAGACGTATTATACTGTGACTTTGAAATGATGAATTACTGATGACTGTGGAGCGTACATGATAAATGCATACGTACATAACATGGGAAGCGACGAAAGTAAACAGATACGGCGTAAGTCTAATCGACAACGAAAAGTCTAATACACAGAGCGGAGCTCTGAATCATAGTTTAAGGTCATTTCAAAGTTACAGTATACTACACTGTTGAATTCGTCTCGCTATCAGCAACAATCCTACTTATGTTAGAAACATATGGTGCCATTTAAAAAAATCAAGGTGATCTTGATTTTTTTACGTAAAAAGCATTTTTTGAGATTTAAGAATATGGGAACGTGTAGCCTACCAAACACTAAACAAATTTTCTTTGAAACATTTTTTACTGCACTACCGGAAATGTCTAAAAACTTCACGTTTCTCTGGCGTCCTTGCGAAAATTTTAAAGAAATAAAGTGAAATTATATTTAAAGAAAT